CAGTTGACTATCGTCTCTAAATCTGTTCTGTGTTTAGATCGATGACTACAGCATGGTCCGGTTTTTGCCCTTCGACCGCTCCGACGAGGAGAGCATCACCATTGTGCTGCAGCACATTGACTTTGCCATTCAGTATGGGGAAGATCTGGAGTTCAAAGAGCCAAAGGTGAGGGGTCAGAGGTAGTGGTGCTCCTGCTTTTTATACACAACTGAGCCAGCCTCAAAAACGGAAACTACAAAAGGAAAGGGCCATTTACCCAAGATCCATCTCATTTGGGTATTCATGCAATACTGATATCCCCACTATCCCAGCACATCCTACTGTAGATTCAAGCTAGGAAAAGTTACTTTTTTAACATTTGTCAGTTCAAATTGCTTCAGAAAAAGGAAGAGGAGTTTGGGTGTATTTATAAGAGGATTTCACATGTAGCCAACATTGGATTATTAATAATAATAATAATAAACGAACATTGGGGAAGTCAATAGTAGTAAACTGCTTCAAGTGCAATAGACGAAGAGCGAATACCGTAAAAACACAATCCAGAGCAGAAGCGAAAATGGCAAAAAACTGTCCATGGACAGTTTCTGGCAAAGATTTAGAGCCAAATTGACAAAGAAAAAACGTGCATGTGGCTCACAAATGGAACTCTGAAAAAGGAGACAAAGGAGGACCTGATTCTGGCAGCCCAAGAACAAGTCATTCGAACCAATGCCATCAAAGCCAGAATTGAAAAGTCGACGACAGATCCCAAATGTAGACTCTGCAAGGAAGCAGATGAAACAATAGATCACATCCTCAGCTGCTGCAAGAAGATCGCGCAGACAGACTACAAGCAGAGGCAAAGCACTGTTGCTCAGATGATTCATTGGAACTTGTGCCACAAATACCATCTGCCTGCAACAAAGAACTGGTGGGATCACAAGCCTGAAAAAGTTACACATCAAGCTACTCTGGGACTTCCGAATTCAGACAGACAGAGTTTTGGAGCACAATACTCCTGACCTCATGATCATGTTAAAAAAGTGTGGATTATTGATGTTGCAATCCCAGGTAACAGCAGGATTGAAGAGAAACAACTGGAAAAGCTGACACGATATGAGGATTTAAAGATCAAACTGCAAAGACTCTGGCACAAGCCAGTCAAGGTGGTCCCAGTGGTGCACACTGCACACTGGGTGCAGTGCCTAAAGACCTTGGCCTGCACTTAAACACAATTGGGGCTGACAAAATTACATCTGCCAGCTGCAAAAGGCCATCCTTCTGGGATTTGCACACATTATTCGCCAATACACAGTCCTAGACACTTGGGAAGTGTCCAACGTGTGATCCAATACAACAGCCAGCAGAATGTCTGCTGTGGACTCATCTTGTTGTGTTAATAATAATAATAATAATAATAATAATAATAATAATAATAATACAGTTTTATGCTGCTTTAACTGTCATGGCTCAATACTGTGGAATCATGGGAATTGCAGCTTTGCATTTTCTACGAGAGTGCTGGGACCTCATCATACTACGACTCCCAGGATTCCACAGCCTTGAGCCATAACACTGAAAGTCGTGCCGAAACTGCTTTAATTCTACAGTGGAGAGATGCACCCTACGCTTTGAATAATTTTGCCTTCTTGAAGAATGCAGTTTGCTGTAATCCTTCCTATCCTTTTCCCTCCACAGGAAAATGAGGAGAATAAACCTTCCACTTTTGATGAGTTCTTCCAAGAGCGAGTGGATGAGTGACAAGATTGGGATCCATTTTGAGGAAAGGTATCAAGATCAAATGCATCAAACATCAAATGCAGCCAAGGCAAAGAGATCCCCAGAGGGATCTGCCCCATAGACTTTTCCCCCCCTTGGAGAGTTTACTGTACATACTGAGAGATAAATTATTGTGTTATTTCATTGTTTGATTGCTTCCTTGGCAATAATAAACATGAGAGTATCTGGTCTTCCTATCTGTTTCTTGGTGTGCTTTTGTTAGCTCAGGTGGCGGAAGCAAATACAGAAAAGGGTGCGTTGCCATTGTCACTTGAGTGTGTTAACTTGTTCAGCACTGCTGTCCTTTGCTCTGATTCAATCTAAGGTAAGGAGGGTGAATGTGTTGCCAACAAGCAACAAGGCATTGTTTGTTTTTGGGGTGTTAGGTAGTATCATTTAGTTAATTAGTAACACTATTTATTAGAAAAAAGCCAGTTTTTATTTGTTTTTTTATTAATGCCCCCATTAGAAAATGCATAAGGATGTGGGTAAACTACAATACCCAAAACTGTGGGTCAGTCCTCCCCAAAACAGGCCTGTATGCACAGTTGGCCCTGTTGGGCCTGTGTGCCAAGTTTGGTCCAGATCCAATGCTGGCTGGGTTCAGTGCTCTCTGGATGCAGGTGAACTACAAATCTCAAAATCAAGGTTAATTCCCACAAACTCCTGCAGTGTTCACTTGGTCATGGGGTTTCTCTGTGGTAAGTTTGGTCCCGGTCCATTGTTGGCGGGGTCACTGTTTCTCTGGATGCAGGTGAATTACAACTCCCAGATTCCCAGGGCAATCACTCCCAAACTCTGCCTGTATTCACAGTTGGACATATTGGGTCTATGTGCCAAGTTTGTGGTCCAGATCCATTATGGATGGGGTTCAGAGTGCTCTATATGCACACACCCCCAGCCCCTCCATTATGTTTTGTTGGTCCTCAGGGTTTTGTGTGGCACATGTGTTCCAGATCTGCCATTGGGGGCTTCAGAATGCTCTCTGGGTGCAGGGTGAAATACAACTCCCACGCGGGTGGGTTAGTCCTCCCCCAAACTCTTACAGTATGTTCTGTTGGTCATGGGGGTTTTGTGTCCCAAATTTGATCCAGGCCCGTCATTCGTGAGGGTTGCAGTGGTCTGTGGAAGTGGAGGCACTGCAAATCCAATAATCCGTGGTCCATCCTTCCGCAAACCGCACCAGGATGTAAAGTGGGTCATGGAGGGGTCTGTGTGGCAAGTTTGGTCCAGATCCATCATTAGTCGGGCCGCAGTGGTCTCAGGAACTTAGTAAAGGAACTACAAATCCCATTATCCATGCCAAGTGGGTCCAGATCCATTGTTGGTTGGGTTCACAATGCTCTGGATGCAGGTGAACTACGGCTGCTATAAATCAAGGTCAATTTCCCCCAAAACCTCTTGTTCAGTTGCTGTTTGCTGTGTGCCATAGGAAAGGGATAAGGGAGAGGAAGTGGGCAGGGTCATGCAAATTCCACAGCAATGGAAAAAGTAAGGAACCCTGGGATGTCCATTCTGGAGGAAAAAAACAACATCTAGGAAGCTCTTACAATACTGAATTAACACAGTTTGACCGGTTAAAATGTCTTGCCTCAGTGCTCTGCAAACCTGGTAGTTGTAGTTTCCCAAGGTCTCAAGCCTCCTCTGCCCAAAGGGAGCTTCGAGACGAGGAGAGCATTGTTTCCAGGGCCGGGGAGGCCATGGGGGCCAAGTGGGCCATGTGGCCCAAGCAGCTGCTGGGCCGGCTGTGAAATGTGGGAGTGGAAAGAAAAGACTCAGTAGAGCGAAAGAAAAGACAAGGAAGCAAAAGCTAAGGATAACCCTTTTACTGAAGGGTAAACGACATTCTCCTGGGCACTGGTAGCTGCTGCTGGGCTCCTCCAGACCGCTGATCATTTGCAAAAATTGATTTTTGAAACAAAAAGAGCTCCCATCACCTGTGGAACTCCTCGCTGCGGTGCCAACTATATCAATATTTTGCTCAAGGGGGAGGAGGGGGTGTCCTCGACAATACTTTGGAAACTATAACTCCCAGTTTTGCAGAGCACTGAGCCAAGACAGTTGAAGTTGTCACTGTAGAAGGTCCCTTTGGGCAGAGGAGGCTCGAGACCTTAGGAAACTACAACTCCTAGAGCATTGAGCCAGGGCTGTTGAAATAGTCAAACTGTTAAAGGTTTATCTTGACATTAAGTCTAGTCATGTCCAAATCTGGGGGTGGTCTCATCTCCATTTTTAAGCCGAAGAGCTGGTGTTGTCCGTACACACCTCAAGGGTTATGCAGCCAGCATGACAGCATGGAGCGCCGTGGGCCTCCTGATTACGCAGAGGGTTAATCCACTGAGCTGCTGAACTTGCTGAACAAACGGTTGGCGGTTTGAATCCAGGGAGCGGGGTGAGCTTCCACTGTTAGGTCTAGATTCTGCCAACCTAGCAGTTTGAAAACATGCAAGTGTGAGTAGATCAATAGGTACCAATTCAGTGGGAAGGCAAGGGTCAAACTGTAAATTTGCTATTGCAGAAGCTCCCTTTGGGTAGAGGAGTCTCGAGACCTTGGGAAACTACAATTCCCAGAGCACTGAGCTAGGGCTGTTGAAGTGGTCATACTGCAAATTTGCTTTTTCAAAAGCTCCCTTTGGGCAGAGGAGGCTTGAGACCTTGGGGAACTACAACTCCCAGAGCACTGAGCCAGTGCTGTTGAAGTGGTCAAACTGTAAATTTGCTATTGCAGAAGCTCCCTTTGGGCAGAGGAGGCTCGAGGCCTTGGGGAACTACAACTCTCAGAGCACAGAGGCTGGGCCATTGAAGTGATGTGGGCAGAGAAGGCTTGAGACCTTGGGGAACTACAACTCCCAGAGCACAGAGCCTGGGCTGAAGTGGTTTGGGCAGAGGAGTCTCAAGACCTTGGGGAACTACAGCTTCCAAAGCACAGAGCCAGGGCAGTTGAAGTGGTCAAACTGTAAATTTGCTCTTGTAGAAGCTCCTTTTGGGCAGAGGAGGCTCAAGACCTTGGGAAACTACAACTCAGAGCAATGAACCAGGGCTGAAGTGGTCAAACTGTACATTTGCTATTGGAGAAGCTCCCTTTGGGCAGAGGAGGCTCGAGACCTTGGGGAACTACAAGTCCCAGGGAGCCAGGGAACTCCACGCGGCGCTGAAAGCCAACGGGCCTCTTCGTGGGCCTTGCTCTCGGGCGCCGCCTCCTGGCCAACGAAGCCACTGCCTCCGCTCCTGCCGGGCCCCGCCCTTCCTGCTTTGGGTGGAAGAGGAAGGAAGGCTGGCAGGCAGGAAGGGAGGAGGGCGCGTTTGGCTGCCTGGCGGGCTGAGCAGGAAGAGGCTGTCCTCTCCGGCTCCCATCAAGTGCTTCCCAAAATGCCGGTAAGGGGCAGGGGGGGATGGATCCTTGGGGATCTCAAGTCCCATCGCTTGGGGGTGGAGGTGGAGGTGGATGCTGGGACTCCCAACTGGCCCAAGAGAGCCACTAGCTTCAGACCCAAAGGGGCCCAGACGGGAGCGAGATGGGAGCCTGCCCAATGGCTGCCCTGCTGGGAGCAAGGTTGGGGTGAGGGTAAGGATGATTTTTTGGGTTGGTAGGACTTCTGTAGCACCCAACAGACTTCTCTTTCCCAGGTCTATTTCCCCCCAGCTTGGGACTTTCTGCCCCCCCCCCCCCCCAATATTTTAAATTACTTTTCTGAACACAAAAAGGGCACAAATAAATATACAATAGCAGTCCCTGTTTATACATACACTCAGACATGCTTCACAACCATTGCATGTCAAGCTAGACAACATACATTATAAGTCGAAACTACAGACCTCTCTATTTGTTTGTATTTGCGTGTATGTATGTATGTGTATATAGAGAGAAATAGATAGTGGATTTGTTGCTTTCCTTTTTTTTTTGGTGTCTCTACAATTTCCCCCAAACTGGTTTGCATCTGCTTATTTGAACATTGACAAATACAGATCCCAACATTTTATGCCTCCAAATCCATCCATAAAGCCTTTCCCCTCCCCTATTATATTATATTATTGTTATATTATATTATTATAATATATTGTTATAATATGATTTATATTATATTATATTATATTGAGAGATGGGTAAAAAGGTTTCTTTTAGTAATGTACCCAGTGACCAGCTTGGGGATTTCGGATCTTGAAAACAGCTGGGGATGATGGGAGCTGCTGTCCCCAAGGCCACCTGTCCCCAAAGGCTGTTGTTTCGGGTCTGTCCCAAAAGGCTGGGACTTCAAATGTCAGCCGCAGGGGAAACTTCCTTATATGGTTTCAAGAGGGAAGTCAGGCGACACTGGCTGTCAGGCAAGGCTGATTTTGGGGGGGGAACCAAACAATGGGAGGATTCAAACCCGAATCCCGCAGCACTTGATGGATCTCCACTGTGGGATGGATGTGGTTTGAGACCACTTGAGCCTGGGAGGCGTAGTTTGGAGAGTCAGCCACCCTCTTTGGCAGGCCTTGGAAAACTACAACTCCCAGGATCCCGTCACACTCAGCCATGGCACTCCAAGAAGTGTCGAACTCGAGATTTTTCTGTGTTAGGTGTTATTACTAAAAGGCTATGGCAAAATTGGCTTTGCACAAAAAATCTGACTCGATACCCCAGCACCCCTTGTAATTCTCTTATATTGAGTCTTCTTGGAAAATTGGTTTTGAAGTGCCTTCCATTGTGATGGTAATGCAGCGCCTTCTTGGTTGTGGCATCAGCTTGTATTGTCTTTCTGTGTTTCTGACTCCAGTCCGAGGCTTAGCTGGCTCTCCTTTCCCCATTTCCTTTGTACATCCTTTTTCGAGTATCGCTTTATTGTACTTATGTACCTAGAGTCTTTTCTTCTTATTTATTAGAGTCATCATTACTCTAAATTGTTTTGAAGTCTTGCCACAAATGGCAGAATTAATTGGAGTATTTTTTTCAAAAAAAAAAGAAAAAATAATAGAGATGACTTTGCTTTGCGCTTGCATTTGCTCCTTAAGATGAATGGCCTGAATCCACTTGATCGGCTGGTAATAGCCGAAATAGAGGCACAGAGGAGTTGAAGTGGCTGGATATATGCCTGGCTTGAGAAGATTGCCTTTCTTGACCTGGTAAAATATTGTCTCTTGACTTGAGAAGATGGGAGTCACAGTCTACCAACATCTTGCATTTCAGGCACAGGCTTTGGGTGCATCTACACTGTGGAAATAATCTAGTTTGGTGCTACTTGAACTGCCATGGCTCAAAGCTATGGAATTCTGGGGTTTCTAATTTGATGAGACAGCAGCCCTCTTTGGCAGGGAAAGCTACCCCAGTTTTCAAACTATAACTCCCAGGATCCAATCCCATTGAACCATGGCAGTCCAATAGAGCTAAGTAATAGCTCTGTGATGCTTCTTCAAATAATAACAATTATAAATATTATTATTGCTATTATTTCCTGCTTTTATCTCTTGACCGAGATGCCAGGCAGCTCACAGCATGAAAAATCAATGCAATTTAAAATCTACAATGCATACATATTAGAATAGAATTAATCATACAAATCAGTCATAAGAAATGAACATATCCCTTGTTGTTTCCTGGTGGTATTATTATTATTATTATTATTATTATTATTATTATTATTATTTCCTGCTTTTATCTCTTGACTGAGACGCCAGGTGGCTCACAACTTGACAAAACTATGCAATTTAAAATCTACGACATGTAAATATTATAATTTTATTTATCATATCAGGAGCAAACCAAGGGTACCATTGTAATGTATTTATAAAAACACACACACACAATTTAGAATCTTGGCAGTATATGAATGTCCTTTGACCAGTACCTGGCCACTTGGAGTGCCCCGGTGTTGCTATGAGAAGGTCCTCCATTGTGCATGTGGCAGGGCTCAGACTGCATTGTAATAGGTGGTCTGTGGTTTTCTCTTCTCCACACTCACATGTCGTGGACTCCATTTTGTGGCCCCATTTCTTAAGGTTGGCTCTGCCTCTTGTGGTGCCAGAGCGCAGTCTGTTCAGCGCCTTCCAAGTCGCCCAGTTTTCTGTGTGCCCAGAAAGGAGTCTCTCCTTTGGTATCAGCCATGGATTGAGGGTCCGGGTTTTAGCCTGCCACTTTTGGACTCTTGCTTGCTGAGGTGTTCCTGCGAGTATCTCTGTAGATCTTAGAAAACTATTTCTTGATTTAAGGTGTTTGCATATTGGCTGATATCCAAACAGGGGATGGGCCAGAGATGTCATTGCCTTGGTCCTTTCACTATTGGCTGCTACTTCCTGGCGGATGTCAGGTGGTGCGGTACTGGCTAAACAATGTAATTTCTCCAGTGGTATAGGGCGCAGACATCCTGTGATAATGCGGTATGTCTCATTAAGAGCCACATCCACTGTTTTAGCATGGTGAGAACATGTGTACTCAGCAGCAGAATACTAAAGCACAAGGGCAGATGTCTTCACTGTGTCTGGTTGTGATCCCCAGGTTGTGCCAGTCAGCTATCGTATGACATTGTTTATAGCACCCACTTTTTGCTTGATATTTAAGCAGTGCTTCTTGTAGGTCAGAGCACGGTCCAGAGTGACCCCCAGGTATTTGGGTGTGCTGCAATGCTCCAGTGGGGTTCCTTCCCAGGAAATCCTCAGAGCTTGAGATGCTTGTCTGTTCTTAAGATGAAAAGTACATATCTATGTTTTAGATGGATTAGGAATCAGCTGGTTTTACCTGTAATAGGGAATAAGAGCACCTAAAGCTTCGAAGAGCTTCTGTTCAACCATCTCAAAGCTCCCTGCTTGAGCAGTGATGACAAGATCGTCAGCATAGATGAAACTCTCTGTCCCTTCTGGCAGTGGCTGATCATTTATATAAATGTTAAATGTTGATGGAGCAAAATACTGGAATAGAATTAAACATATTAATCAGTTGTAAAACATGAGAATATCCCTTGTCATTTCCTATTATTAACATCATCATCATGTATTTATTACCCACCTCTCTATGTGGCTTACAGTGGGGTACGACGTAGTTACAACACATCCATAAAGCACCGATTAAAATATGTGAAACAAAAGTTTAAACGCAATAAACACAGAATGTGATTTATAGTCAAAACTGATTTGCGTTTCATGCTGTGATTTCTCCCATTGATACACTTCCCTTTGACATCTGAGTCCAAGGCAGCTCATCTCCATAAAAAGACCGGCCAAATCACCAGTTATAAATATCTAAAAGAATTGAACACAGTGATTTGATAAATAAAATACATACAAGGAATCCAAAACAGGGGGAGAAAAAGAAATAAACTAGTTGCTTATTGTCCCAAAGCTTGTACAGATCTTTGTCTAGTATGACTGTTATGACCACAGGACAGTAACCAACCTTCATTGAACAAAATGTGTTCTTCTCTAGGAATTGTCTAGGTCCTCCAGCAGGATTCCGTTGTAACTTCCAATGGAAATTATTCATCCCTAAATAGATTGCTATTCATGGTTCCCAGTTGCCAAGGAAACGTATCCCTGCAGATAATGTGCGTAATACTGTACATAGCATCAAAAAGCGTATGAGTCAAATGGACCTTGAATGCGAAATTTCCGTAACCAAGGAGTGCATCTAAACTGGAGAATTAATGCACTTTACACCATTGGAACTTTTGATTTTTTTTCCCCTCCACTGCTGACCTTTCATTTCTCTCTCACAGGCCTATCACTCTACTCTGATGGATTCAGACACCAAACTGATTGGAAATATGGCTTTGCTTCCAATTAAGAGTCAGTTTAAAGGGCCAGCGCCCAGAGAAAGTAAGTTGGCAGCTTTCAGATCGCCTTTGAAATATCTATATATTGGAAAAATCATTATAACTTCCTAATGATCACGAAGTAAACTACTCAAAATCACTTCAGATGTAAGATGCTAGGGTGCTTTGCAAAGTTTCAACTGGCATTTTATTAGCAAAAGTGTCAATTTGTGTTATGTGTATTGGAATATATATATTTAAATAGTATTATATTTTATCCATCTGTTTTAACCATCTTGTTGTAAGGTGCTCTGAGGAAAGCCGGGTACAGGTAACAAGTATCATTATTATTATTATTATTATTATTATTATTATTTTATATTGTATTATTAGTATACTATTAGTAGTAGTACAGTATTTTACATTATTATTTTATATTATTATTATTATTCTTGATATTGTTTTGCGGCCAAGGTATTGTTAGACTGCATTTACCAGCAGCCTTGAAATTGGTGAGGGATGATGGGAATTGCATTCCAAAAATATCCAGGAAGCTACAAGTTTCTTACCCTTGACTTAAAGGGCATCAAACGGAGCACCCTTTCCCCCCCAAATAAATGGAGGGAATCTGATACAAGACAGGGGATGATGGTTGGCTGTTTTGCCCTCTTTGCATCAATCTCCCTTTAAGTGTATACCTAAATGCCATTGTTCATATTCCTTGCCAACACATTGTGCTTCTCTTCCTCCCTTGATAGCAAAGGATATGGACATCATTGACGAAGCCATCTGTTACTTCAAAGCCAACGTCTTCTTTAAAAATTATGAAATCAAGGTAAGAGGGTGCAGGCAAAGGGACTTCCGATTGTTCTTGGAAGTGGCATCAAAGTGAATGAAAAATAAGATGATGATAATAATAATAATAATAATAATAATAACTTTATTTGTACCCCGCTACCATCTCCCCAAGGGACTCGGTGCGGCTTACATGAGGCCGAGCCCACAATACAACAATAAAACAATAGCAACAGTAATACAAACAATAAATAAAATAAAACTCATAAACAGAAAATAGCAATAAACATTAACAATAACACAACGATGTTTAAAAACCTATGGCAGGGCCAAATGTACTAATTACAAATTTAAAAAATAATGCTGCGTGTGACCAGGTGACTTATAAACAGGATAGAAATTTTGGAGAGGGATAGAGCGTGCAGACAATCCTAGATCACTAATATGTGTTTAGGGACATATTGCTGGGAGTTTCCTTATTCTGGTAGGTAAGCTAGGATAGGGTTTTCAAAGAAAGATGAGGGCTCGCAGACAATCCTAAATCAATATTAAAGTGCATTTGAGGACATATTGCTAAGAGTTTTCCTATTCTGGGAAGGCACACTGGAACAACCACATTTTCAGGCTCCTCCTAAAGACTGCCAACGTTGGGGCATGTCTGATATCCCTGGGGAGTGAGTTCCAGAGTCGAGGGGCCACCACCAAGAAGGCCCTGTCCCTCGTCCCCACCAATCGCGCTTGCGATGGAGGCGGGAGCACAAGCAGGGCCTCTCCAGATGATCGAAGAGATTGCGTGGGTTCGTACACAGTGATGCGGTCACGCAGGTAGGCGGGTCCCAAAATAAGAGAAATCCAAAAGCATGTCACTGATGAAGAGCCCTGCGAAATGAGGCAAAAATCCCATGTAAGCCTCTTCCCACTTTATTACAGTGGACATACACAGGCTTTAAGAAATTTTGGCAATTTCTCCAAAATAATCCTTTTCACATGAGCTAAAATTCCCATCTCTTCTAGCCAGTATGGATGATGGGAATTACAATTTAACACAGGCATAGGCAAACTTAGGGCCTCCGAGTGTTTTGGACTTCAATTCCTACAATTCCTAACAGCCAAATTGTAGGAATTGAAGTGCAAATCACTTGGAGGGCTGAAGCTTGTCCATGCCTGGTCTAATGCATCTGGAAGATCCTGGTTTGGGAAAGACTGGTTTGATCTCTTTCTAAGGGCCCTTCCACACAACTATATAACCCAGAATATCAAAGCAGATAATCCACAATATCTGCTTTGAACTAGTTTATCTGAGTCCACACTGCCAGATAATCTAGTTAAATGTGGATTTTACACAGTTGTGTGGAAGGGGCCTAAAGCTGCCAGAAAAGTGGGAGGAAACTATAAATTCAACCAAATTCTGACAACAATGACAAATTCAGGACATGGGGTGGAGATCTCAGCTGTTCCCATGAGCCAATTGGATGTATTCCTTTAATTTCAGAATGAAGCTGACCGAACATTGATCTATGTCACACTCTACATTTCAGAGTGCTTGAAAAAACTACAAAAGGTAAGGGAGCTGGAGGTTTCATTTGGGTTGGTTTGTTGCTTTCAACTGGGGAGTATGTTTTTCAAACAGGCAAAAAAAAAAAAACCCTGTTAAAATGGGTTGATTAAGCTTTTGGAAGGATGTACGTTATTTTTTTCTCTAACTAGAGTCTGGTGCCACACTGTGCAACTGTTGATCGCGAAGTCGTTTGTGGTTCCGTGTACTTCTTTGGATTGAGCAATTATTTTCAGTTTAGTAAATGTATAAAATGTGCTTGCTCTGGTAGTGTTTTGAAATTATTGTGGTTCCGGTTAGAGGGAAAATAGTGGATAAGAAAGACACCCATATTTATGTAATATTTGTGATTTTGAACATTGCAAGGCCTGCTGTATGTTTTATGAGTCTTTTTCTCAAGAAGAGTGTTCGAAGACATAACCATTAATGCCATTTTCTATTCTGCTTGAGCCCCGAGAACCCAAAGCTACCATTGGACTTATGTCCCTTGACTTACTCTGAGGGGTATCTGTATAGAGTTGCACTGTTAAACCCTTCTGGGGAGGAAAACTCTGTTTGCATTCTTGTTATATAAGCTCTATGTATTGTCAAATAGTAAATAAAGAACAAAATTCAAACACAGGGGACCTCCAGACAAGAAACAATAAGGAACAGATGATCACCTCTCAACAAAGGATTCCCCCAGGCAGTAACAAGCCACACTTAAAAACTATCAGACCATCAAATGCTAATCAAGGTGGCCAATGGAAACATTCACACCTAAATTCAACAGACAAGAGTTCTTTCTCCCACCCTGGACTTTCCACAGATATATAAACCCATTTTTTCCAGTTTCCAACAGACCTCACAACCTCTGAGATGCCTGCCATAGATGCAGGTGAAACGTCAGGAGAGACTGCTTCTAGAACATGGCCATACAGTCCGAAAAACCTACAACAACCTATATAAGCTCTGTTCAGTCCTCTGTCAGGCAAAAGTTGGAGTATTAATTTCTAACTGTCTGTTTCATTAGCTGGCAATTCCAGTAGCATAAAACACCAAGGCAAATTTGTGGCTTTCCATGTTTTTTCCCCAACCCATATTGGCATCCGTTGTTGATCTCCTCTTCTGTGAGTCATGCTTGCTTCTGCTTTCCTTTGTCTCCAGTGCAATGCCAAGGGCCAAGGAGAGAAAGAAATGTATACATTAGGAATCACCAACTTCCCAATCCCTGGAGAGCCAGGCTTCCCACTGAACGCTCTCTATGCCAGGCCCATAAACAAGCAAGAGGAAGGTAAGCGGGATGTGGCAGTGAGGACCGCAGGTGGAGAAAGCAGCACAGCTCAATTTTCAATGTATTGACCTTGAAGAGTACGGTGTTCTTTGGGGTCTATTGTAAAGCAAGTTGGCATAGGAACAGCCTATTTGTGTTCTGTATGCCCCTGCTTGAAGATCGATTTTTTTCAAAATGAGGTACATGCCAGAGTGAATGAGAGCTATCATGATCTCAGCTGGCTGCAATTCTTTCTGCTTTCAGAAATCATGAGAGCCTACTTACAGCAGCTGAGGCAAGAAACAGGCCTGAGGCTTTGTGAAAAGGTCTTCGATCCCCAGAGTGACAAACCTAGCAAGGTAAGAGGTGGATCTCACTTGTGACTTTGCTCTGCCGAAGCATCGGATGCTTTCTCTCTATTCTACAAAAACCCTAAAACATTGCATTTTTAATTGGAACTTTGTAAGTCACTGGTGGCACAGTGGGTTAAAGTACTGAGCTGCTGAACTGGCTGACCAAAAGATCGCAGCTTCGAATCCAGGCAGCGGGTGAGCTCGTGCTGTTAGCCCCAGCTTCTGCCAACCTAGCAGTTTGAAAACATGCAAATGTGAGATCAATTGGTACCGCTCCAGTGGGAAGGTAACGGCGCTTCATGCCAGCTACATGACCTTGGAGATGTCTACAGACAATGCTGGTTCTTCAGCTTAGAAATGGAGATGAGCACCAACTCCCAGAGTTGGACACGACTGGACTTAATGTCAGGGGAAAACTTTTACCTTTTACCTAAATCACTTCAGTGGCTTGAGGTTGCCTATTTGAAATGTATGAGTAAACTTTGTCTCATCTCTTAAATGAGGAAGGCAAGTGGTTTCCTTGCTTAAAAAAAAACCCCATCTCCTCTTCTGTTGTTGTTGTGTGTTGTCGTTATATATTTATGACGATCCTTGGCAGTATTTATTGCTTGGAATCATAGGGTTGGAAGAGCCATCCAGTCCACCCCCTTTCTGCTATGCAGGAAGGCACAGCCAAAGTTTTCCCGACAAATGGCCATCCAGCCTCTGTTGAAAAACTTCCAGAGGAGACTTCATCACACTTTAAGGCAGCAGGATATTCCCCTGTTGAACAGCTCTGACCTAATGTTTATATAGGATCTCCTTCCTTGCAGTTTGAACCCATGGCTCCACTGAGTCCTAGTCTCCAGCCTGCTTTCTCTTCCTTATGACCTCCTTTCAAATATTTAAACATGGCTCTCAGGACTCCCTCCATTAGCCTTTTCTTCCCTAAACTAAACATCCCAAGCTCCCTAAGCTGCTCCTCATAGGGTTTGGCTTTCAGCCCTTTGAATTTCCTTAGACCAGCTGTCATGATATGTAGTGATTTTCATTTCCATCAAATAGGCTAGAAGTGGATACCAGGGTGCCATTTACCATGGGAACTTGGTGTCTTTTGCAAACAACTGTTCTAGCGGAAACCCTAAGGGCTGCCTTTCCCTTTGCTTTGACATCTTGGTTTCATTTCCTTCTGGCTCCTAGTGGTGGACCTGTTTTGTGAAGAGGCAGTTCATGAACAAGAGCCTGTCGGGTCCAGGGCAGTGAGGACGGAACCTGCGACTTGAGAAATCAACGTGCTTCACTTCTGGATGTATAAATTTTGCCTTTCTTTTACAATGTTTTCTACCACACGCAATTACGTGCTTCCATGAATAGGAAAAAAAAGTCACCTTGGAAAGAAAAAAAAGGGAGCAATAATCATGGGCGTGTCTTGTTGAACTGAAGGGGTTGATCAATGACAATAAAAAGAAGTGGGTTCTCACGTTGTTTTGTCTGTCCTTGCATTTGACAACTCCCTTGGCCATAATCTAGAAGGACAAGAACTGCCTTGCTTAAAGACCCGGGGGGGGGGGGGGCAGTTCTAAGGCCTGGCTTCCTTTATTTCCATTTGTATCTCCCTTTTTAAAATCTATCTTCTACATCCCCACCCAAGGCTAGAACAGGACAAGATCACTCATGCCAGAGATAACTAAGGGCCCTTCCATGCAGCCATATAACCCAGAATATCAAGAAAGGAAATCCCACAATATCTGCTTTGAATTGGAATATATAGAATAATAGAGGTGGAAGAGACCTTGTGGGCCATCTAGTCCATCCAAGAAGCAGGAAAATCGCATTCAAAGCACCCCCAACAGATGGCCATCCAGCTTCTGTTTCAAAGCCTCCAAAGAAAGAGCCTCCACCACACTCCGGGGCAGAGAGTTCCACTGTTGAACAGCTCTCACAGTTAGGGTGTTCTTATGTTCAGCTGGATTCTCCTTTCCTGTAGTTTAAAGCCATTGTTCCATTGCATCCTAGTCTCCAGGGCAGCAAAAAACAAGCTTGCTCCCTCCTGCCTATGACTTCCCCTCACATCTTTATACATAGCCATCATCATGTCTCCTCTCAACCTTCTCTTCTGCAGGATAAACGCCCTGCTCTTTGAGCCACTCCTCATAGGGCTTGTTCTCCAGACCCTTAATCATTTTAGTCACCCTCCTCTGGACACATTCCAGCTTAGAGACAACATCTCCCTTCAATTGCAGTGCCCAGAATTGGACACAGGTGTGGTCTGACCAAGGCAGAAGAGAGGGGGAGCATAACTTCCCTGGATCTAGGCACTAGACTCCTACTGATGCAGGCCAAAATCCCATTGGCTTTTTTTAGCCACCACGTGACATTGTTGATTCATGTTCACCTTCCTGTCCATGAGAACTCTCAAGATCTTTTTCATATGTTCTGCTGTTGAGCCAGATGTCCCCCATTCTGTATCTTTGCATTTCATTTTTTCTGCCTAAATGAGGTATCTTGGATTTGCCTCTGTTGAACTTCCTTTTGTTAGTTTTGGCCATTCATCTCTCTAATCTGTTAAGATCATTTTGAATTCTGCTCCTGTTCTGAAGTATTGGCTATCCCTAACAATTTGGTCCTGTCTGCAAACCTGACGATCATGCCTTCTAACCCTTCATCTAAGTCATTAATAAAGGTGTTGAACAGGACGGGGCCCAGGATGGAACCCTGCTTCTGGCACTCCACTTGTCACTTCTTTCCAGGATGAAGAGGAAGCTTTTGGGGAGAATCACCCGTTGGGTTCGTTATTTAATAAATTACAGATCCAGCTAACCGTAGTTTTGCATAGCTCACATTGGCCTAGTTTGTTTGCCAGAAAGTCACGGGGGACCTTGTCCAAGGAAGGCCTTCCTGAAATCCAGATACGGCATTCCCTTCATCTACCAGCTTGTAAGTCTATTGAAAAAAGAGATCAGATTAGTCTGGCATGACTTGTTTTTTGATAAATCCGTGTTGGCTATTAGCGATGACTGCATTCCTTTCTAAGTGTTTGCAGTCCACTTCCTTAACGATCTTTTCCAGAATTTTGCCTGGTATCAACATCAGGCTGACCAGACAGTAATTGTTTGGGTTGTCCTTTTTTCCCTTTGTGAAGAACTTCCTGACAGTGAGAGCTGTTCAGCAGTGGAACTCTCTGCTCTGGATATGGTGGAGGCTTCTTTTTTGAAGGCTTTTAAGCAGAGGCTGGATGGCCATCTGTCGGGGCTGCTTTGAATGCAATTTTCCTGCTTCTTGGCGGAAAGTGGTTGGATGGATGGCCCATGAGGTTTCTTCCAACTCTAGGATTCTTTGGGCCCTTCCAAACAGCTTTATAACCCAGAATATCAGGGCAGAAAATCCCACGATATCTGTTTTGAACTGGGTTATCTGAGTCCACACTGCTATATATTCCAGCTAAAGCAGATAATGTGAGATTTTATTCAGCTGTGTGGAAGGGGCCTATGATTCTACAAGGTCTTAATTTACTTACTTAGGCAATTCTTCGTTGTCTGAGTAGGATTGTCTTCCAAGATCAGTGTACTGGTGGTAGGTCCGTAAGTGACTGTGGAGCCCTATTCTAGACCTGCATCTTCTGCAGTGAGGGCATCGGTTTCTAGGTGGAAGGTGGTCCCAGTCGGGGTTGGCTTGACTCGCCTTCCTCTTGGCACATTTCTCTTTCGCCCTCCATTCATGCCTCTTCAAACTCTACAGCACTGCTGGTCACAGCTGACCTCCAGCAGGAGTGCTCAAGGGCCAGGGCTTCCCAGTTCTCAGTATCTATGCCAGAGTTTTTAAGGTTGGCTTTCAGCCCATCTTTAAATCTCATTTCCTGCCCACCAACATTCCACTTTCCGTGCTTGAGTTCGGAATAGAACAATTGCTTTGGGAGACAGTGGTCGGGCATCCAGACAACGTGGCCGGTCCAGCGGAGTTGATGGTGGAGGACCATCGCTTCAATGCAGGTGGTCTTTGCTTCTTCCAGCATGCTGACATTTGTCCACTTGTCTTCACAAGAGATTTGCAGGATTTTTCAGTGGCAACGCTGATGGAATCGTTCTAGGAGGTGCATGTGATGTCTGTAGACAGTCCATGTCTCACAGGCGTATAGCAGGGTTGGGAGGACAATAGCTTTATAAACAAAGTGCTCTTCCAGCAGTCACCGGCCAATCCCTCTCCAATGCCAGAAATACAGCTTAATGGTGTAACATTAGAGTTGACCATTTCCGCTACTTGGCAGCCACCTCTCCACAAAAGTCAACACTGACACCGCCTGAGCTCTGTGAGTGCAGCATTTTTCCAAATGAAGCAGAGAGTGTTTGAGAACCGGGACATCCGTTGGGATACCAAGGTGCTAAAGGTCTTAAGCCTTCCCTATCAAGCTACCTCTGCCATGGTCTCATAGCATTGAGGCCCTTCCCACACAGCTGAGTAATACTTCACATTATCTGCTTTGAACTGGGATATATGGCAGTGTGGGCTCAGGTAACCCAGTTCAGAACAGATATTGTTGGATTTTCTGCCAGATATTCTGGGTTACATGGCTGTGTGGAAGGGAACTGAGTCAGGGCAGTTAAAGTGGTGTTAAAATGCATTCATTCTACAGTGTAGATGCTATGACTCTGGAGAAGAGGGTTCAAATCCCCACACAATAGGTGACTCACACTCTCTCAGCCTCTACGGATTATTTATTTATTTACTCCTATACCGTTGTTCTCAGCCCGAAGGCGACTCACAGCGGTTCACAACAAACAAGAACAGCAGAAATTCAGTGCTCCAATATAAAAACAATTAACAACCTAACACATTACACACTTAGAAAACAATTACTACAATAACCATTCACTAGCGTCTCATCACTAAAGGACATGATCCAGAATCGTCAACCATTGTTCCATTCCTATGTCATTACAGTTCATTGCACAAATTCTTCGAACGCCTGCTCAAACAACCAGGTCTTCACTTTTTTGCGGAAAACCATTAGAGATGGTGCTAGTCTAATGTCTGTGGGAAGGGCGTTCCACAGCCGAGGAGCCACCACCGGGAAGGCCCTATCTCTCGTCCTCGCCAGCCGTGCTTGTGAAGCAGGCGGGATCGAGAGCAGGGCCTCCCCGGAAGATCTCAAAGTCCTGGTGGGTTCATAGGCCGAGATGCGGTCGGATAGGTAACTTGGGCCGGAACCGTTTAAGGCTTTATAGGCCAACGCCAGCACCTTGAATTGAGCCCGGTAGCAGATCGGTAGCCAGTGGAGCTGGTACAACGGGGGTTGTGTGCTCCCTGCGTTCCGCTCCTGTTAGAATCATGGCTGCCGCACGTTGGACTAGTTGAAGCTTCCGAGCCATCTTCAAGGGCAACCCCATGTAGAGAGCGTTGCAGTAGTCTAGACGGGATGTAACCAGAGCGTGGACTACCGTGGCCAAGTCAGACTTCCCAAGGTACAGGCGCAGCTGGCACACAAGTTTTAACTGTGCAAATGCTCCCCTGGTCACTGCCGAAACCCGGGGTTCCAGGCTCAGCGATGAGTCCAGGATCACACCCAAGCTGCGAACCTGCGTCTTCAGGGGGAGTGCGACCCCATCCAACACAGGCTGTAACCCTATGCCCTGTTCGGCCTTGCGACTGACCAGGAGTACCTCTGTCTTGTCTGGATTCAATTTCAATTTGTTCGCCCTCATCCAGACCGTTACAGTGGCCAAGCACCGGTTCAGGACCTGGACAGCCTCCTTAGTAGCAGGTGGGAAGGAGTGACAGAGTTGGACATCATCCGCGTACAGATGACACCGTACCCTGAAACTCCGGATGATCTCTCCCAGCGGCTTCATGTAGATGTTAAACAGCATGGGAGACAGTATTGAACCCTGTGGAACCCCACAAGACAACGGTTGTGGGGTTGAACAGGTGTCTCCCAATAACACCTTCTGGGATCGGCCCTCTAGGAATGACCGGAGTCACTGTAACACAGTACCTCCAAGTCCCATCCCCGCGAGGCGTTCCAGAAGGATACTGTGGTCGACGGTATCGAAGGCCGCTGAGAGGTCCAGCAGCACCAACAGGGACACACTCCCCCTGTCGAGCTCCCGGCGTAGATCATCCACTAAAGCGACCAAGACTGTCTCAGTTCCATGTCCCGGTCTGAAACCAGACTGTGCCGAATCCAGATAATCCGTGTCTACCAAGAATACCTGGAGTTATGAAGCCACCACGCATTCCAGGACTTTGCCCAAAAAGGGGAGATTGGACACTGGCTGAAAGTTGCCAAATTTAGTGGGGTCCAGTGATGGTTTTTTTAACAGCGGTTTTATTATACCTTGTTTTAAGCTCGCTGGAATATTGCCTTCCCGAAGGGAGGCATTAACCACCACCTCAGCCCACTCAGCCAATCCCCCTCTGGCCTCCTTTAGAAGCCAGGATGGGCAGGGGTCTAGGATGGACGTGGTAGGCCTCATTCCTCCAAGTATCTTGTCCACATCCTCGGGTTTCACCAATAGAAAAGAATTACTGTTATGCCTTCGGGCCCTAAGGATATAGGCCAGTGTTTCTCAACCTGGGGGTTGGGACCCCGGAGGGGTCGCAAGGGGGTGTCAGAGGGGTCGCCAAAGACCATCAGAAAACACAGTATTGTCTCTTGGTCATGGGAGTTCTGTGTGGGAAGTTTGGCTCAATTTTATCATTGGTGGGATTCAAGGGGCTTTTTGATTGTAGGTGAACTATAAATCCCAGAAACTATAACTCCCAAAGATCAAGGTATAATTTCCCTAAACTGCACCAGTGTTCACATTTGGGCATATTGAGTATTAGTGCCAAGTTTGGTCCAGATCCATCATTATTTGAATCCACAGTACTCTCTGGATGTAGGTGAACTACAACTCCCAAACTCAAGATCAATATCCACCAAACCTTCCAATATTTTCTGTTGGTCATGGGGGTTCTGTGTGTCAAGTCTGGTTCAATTCCATCGTTGGTGGAATTCAGAATGCTCTTTGATTGTAGGTGAACTATAAATCCCAGCAACTACATCTCCCAAATGACAAAATCAACCCCCCAACCCCACTGGTATTCAAATTTGGGCGTATTGGGTATTTGTGCCTAATTTAGCCTAGTGTATAAAATACATCCTGCATATCACATATTTACATTATGATTCATAACAGTAGGCAAATTCCAGTTATGAAGTAGCAACGGGAAAAAAGTGTTTGGGGTTCCCCACAACATGAGGAACTGTATTAAAGGGTCACGGCATTAGGAAGGTTGAGAAACACTGAAAGAGGCTTTTCTCCGAAAAAGGACACAAGCAGCCTTCCGTGCCTCGCCGCGCATGCTCAACACCTCCCTCGCTCGTCTCTCGCTTCCACAGTCACGACTCGGGAAAGGTGTCTACAGCAGTGCCTGGTTTTGTTTTATTTTAAAAAATCACCCCTTTGCAAAGGACTTTTAATTTTTTTAAAAAAAGGAGGAAAGTTATAGTTAGCTGAAGTAGGAGAGTAACCCCGCAATGTGTAGAATGGAAGTTCCCCCGAGGCTGACAGGCGAACGCCGGGGGCAGCCTTTCCTCGGTGAGGGTTGTTGTGGAAGTGTCAGGGCGGCTTTTTCGGCGAGGACCCTTCGGGGAGGCGCCATTTTAGACTTGCTGAGAGGACTCTGTCCGTTACGGCCGACTTGAAGTACGCTGTTTTTTCGTTCCCGTCCCTCTGTCGAGTCTTTCCGAGGCCATGAGCGTGGTGGACCATGTGCGGGAGATGGCGGCGGCGGGGCTGCACTCCAACGTGAGGCTCCTGAGCGGCCTCCTCCTTACGATGAGCGGCAACAACCCGTGAGTGAGGCGCTGGAGGCCGACACGGGAGGCTTGGTGGCCTCCGACCCGCTTTGAACCCAAAGGAGAGTTGGTGGAGAAGCCTTGCAGGCACACTGAGGACCCTTCCACACAGCTGAATCAAATCCCACATTTGAACTGGAATATATGGCTGTGTAGACTCAGATAACCCAGTTCAAAGCAGATATTGTGGGATTTTCTGCCTTGAGATTCTGAGTTACATGGCTGTGTGGAAGGGCCCTGAGTTATATGGCTGTGTGGAAGGGCCTTCCAGGCAGGCCCATTATCCCAGGATCTAATCCCAGATTTTCTGTTTATAATAATAATAAATAATAATAAACTTTATTTGTACCCTGCCACCAACCTGTGTTGGACGGGGTTACACTCCCCCTGAAGCCACAGGTCCGCAGTTTGGGAGTCCTCTTGGATTCATCGCTTACGCTTGAGGCTCAGGCGTCGGTGGTGTCTGGGAGGGCTTTCGCACAATTGAGACTCGTGCGCCAACTGCGACCGTACCTCGCGAAGGCTGATCTGGTTGGGGTGGTCCATGCCTTGGTCACCTCCAGATTGGACTACTGCAATGCGTTCTATGTGGGGCTGCCCTTGAAAACAGCTCGGAAGTTCCAGCTGGTCCAATGGGCAGCAGCCAAGATGTTAACTGGAGCCCCTTACAGAGAGAGGTCAACCCTCCTGTTCAAGGAGCTCCACTGGCTGCCGTTTATTTTCCGAGCCCAATTTAAGGTGCAGGTGCTTACCTACAAAGCCCTGAATGGTTTGGGACCATCCTACCTGCGTGACCACATCTCCGTCTACGAACCCACGCGTTCACTGCGGTCATCTGGAGAAGCCCTGCTCGTGATTCCGCCTCCGTCGCAAGCACGTTTGGTGGGGACACGAGACAGGGCCTTTTCTGTGGTGGCCCCCCGACTCTGGAACACCCTCCCCAAAGATCTTAGACAGGCCCCTACATTGGCAGTCTTCAGAAAGAACTTGAAGACCTGGCTGTTCTGATGTGCCTTCCCAGATTAGGAAATCTCCAATACCAAGTCCCATAAGCACTTTATTAGAACCAAGATTGTTGCACATCGCACTCTGCACTTGCCCTATAAGCCTTATATACCACCTGTCACATCAGCACTTTCAATCTTGTACCCATTACTCTGGCCCGGCCCAGTTCTATTGTGTCTTAATGTATTGTTGATTGCTTATTGTTTATATTGCCTTAATTGTTTTTAATTTGCCTTAGGTTTTGTATTGTTATATTGTGTGTTGAGGCCTTGGCCTTTGTAAGCCGCATCGAGTCCTTCGGGAGATGCTAGCGGGGTACAAATAAAGTTTAATAATATAATAATAATAATAATAATAATAATAATAATAATAATAATAATAATAATCTCCCCAATGGGGACTCGAAGCGGCTTACACGAGGCCAAGCCCGAACAACAAATTACAATAAAATAAAACGCAAACGGTAAAAGCAACATCGTAATAAAATAAAACATGTAAATACGTAACAATAATAATATAAAGTTACAATAGACGCAATCACAATGACAGTGGGCGGGCTGCATGTAATGATTAAAAGAGACTAATTAAAACTAATTTAAAACTCTGGTGAGATAAAAAGAGACTATTTGCGGAGGAGAACTCATAGCAGAGGTTGTGGAATCAAGCTTTCCCACAGAGGGGGGACGACATATACTCCAATGACATTTATCATTTATTCCAGATTATCTGGCAGTGCGGACTCATATAATCCAGTTCAAAGCAGAAAACCTGGGATCAGATCCTGGGATAAAGGGCCTGTCTGAGGGTCCTTCCACATAGCCATATATCCCAGAATAACAAGGCAGAAATCCCATAATATCTGCTTTGAACTGGGTTATCTGAGTCCACACTCAGATAATGTGGGATTTCCTGCCTTGATATTTTGGGATATAGGTCTGTGTGGAAGGGCCCCAGAATATCAAGGCAGAAAATCCCACAATATCTTCTTTGAACTCTAATATCTGAGTCCACACTGCTATATATTCCAGTTCAAAGCAGATAATTTGGGATTTTATTCACATCTGTGGAAGGGGCCTCATAGAATCCAGTGCAAAGCGTATGTGAATCATCAGCTTCAATAATCTGGATTATATGGAAGTGTAGAAGGTGCCTCAAAGTGGTTTGCATTAAACACATTTCAATAATAATAATAAATAAATAAATAAACAAACATTATTTTTAGACCGCCCTATCTCCCCCGGGGAACTCGGGGCAGTTTACACATACAAAGGCAAACATTCAATGCCCGACATATACCAAAATATTACAGCAATAAAATATAATACAGAATAACAACAACATTATACTAATCAAATAAAATTAAATATCAAGATATCAACATAGAACAACTAATCACTAAACAAAAACATTTAAAAGCATGATCAACAGTAAAACATCTAACGTAGTCAGCGCCGTTAAAAATTGGGTAAGCATTGGCTGTTAGTTGTTCTTAATTGTACCATAATGGCCATGAAGTACAGATTGGACAGCCTGCAATAGAATTTCAAAGCAGCAAATATACAGACATTACAACAGAATTCAATGTCATGGGTATTTTTAAATGCAGTGAAAATCCATAAAATATGATAGCGGTAAATAGAAGCAGTGTGATATCTTACCAATAACTGCTTTTGTTTTCTTTTAAAAATATGAGTATTTTAGGCCTCTTCTACACTTCCATACAATCCAGATAATCAAAGCAGGAAATCCACATGATCTGCTTTGAACTGGATTCTGTGAGTGTACACTGTCATATAATCCCGTTCAAAGCAGATAATTTGGATTTATATGGCAGTGTAACAGGGGTCTTTGTCCCCATCGACTAAATCTCAGTCTTCTTCCATATCATGAAGTAGCTTCTCCTTGGTACTATTTAGGCTGCTGTTCGAACCCTTTACTTGGGGAGAAGCCTTACTGAGGGCCCTTTCACACAGCCATATAACCCAGAATATCAAGGCAGAAAATCTCACAATATCTGCTTTGAACTGGGTTATCTGAGTACACACTGCCATATATTCCAGTTCAAAGCAGAAGGGCCCTTAGGCAGATCTTGACACACTTCTGTCGATTGTACCATCCTTTTAATGATCAATACAGCTGCTTGGTGAAGGTCGGCCAACATGGTTTGCTCTCTTGTTTCTTCCAGTGAGTTGTTTTCCCCGTCACAGAAGTATCAGCTGCTTGTGTACCATGCCGATTCCCTTTTCCATGACAAGGAGTACCGAAATGCCGTTAGTAAGTACACGATGGCCTTGCAGCAGAAGAAAGCCTTGAGTAAAACATCCAAAGTCAGGCCTTCGACCGGGAATGGGGCATCTACTCCTCAAAACCAGGTAGTCAAATATTCATCATGTCTTGCCCATCAGACAAACCCATGTTGCATTGGCTGTGAAAATCCATGGCAAAAAATCTTATCCAAATCCAGCACATATGTGTATGTAGGCCATTCAACAACTAGCCAGGTTTGTCCTGGATCCCAGAAGGAGGGATTGAATCCCTAAAAATTTATTTTTAGGGACGGGTTTCTATTGCATTGTGTTAGTATGATATATTCCTCTTATTGTTTTTATACTTTAAAATATCAATTACAAATGCAACATTTAAAAGGAAAAAGGATGATGACCCAGTTCAGGAATAGGATATACATTGAGTAAAATCCCTGTCTTCACTTTTTCTGTGAATGATGTGCCTGAGAAAATTATGGAGAAATTCCAGTTTTCAGTGCTGAGTCAGATTGTCCATGGGTTTGACTTGTTGTAGAGTACTTCTTTAAACTTTAAAATCTATTATTATGAACAATGCATTTGTCTTTTACCACGTGTTGCAAGAGTTACGAAATTATTAAAGAAGGCTCTCCATTGTCTTTGTAGTGCCTGCCTTCTGAAATCGAAGTGAAGTACAAAATGGCAGAGTGCTACACAATGTTAAAGCAAGACAAAGATGCCATTGCCATCCTTGACGGGATCCCTTCCAGACAGAGAACTCCAAAGGTAGGGTTCTCTTGTACCAAAAAAGAGTTTTTAGTCAGAAGCATGCAAGATAGAACAATTATTTCAGCATTCTTTGGTTGCAAGATACAAGGCATAAATCTCTAGCTTTTTATATAAAGGTAGGAAGTAATTGGCATTAATCATGGCAATCAAGACCAGAGGATTGTATCAGCAACCCTTACGTGGAGGGGAGGAAAAGACACAATGGGTATATAATTCTAGCTTATTTTTCTGGAGGAAAAGTCCCAAGGCAAACAATTTGGTAGAGATTTTAACAGTTGTCTATGTTAACCCAAGTGAAACCATATCAGCCTGCTCCTTAAAGCAGTGGTTCTCAACCTTCCTGATGCCAAGACCCCTTAATACAGTTCCTCATGCTGTGGTGACCCCCCGACCATAAAATTATTCTCGTTGCTACTTCATAACTGTAATTTTGCTACTGTTATGAATTGTAATGTAAATATCTGATATGCAGGATGTATTTTCATTCACTGGACCAAATTTGGCACAAATACCCTATACACCCAAATTTGAATACTGGTTGGGTTGGGTGGGTTGATTTTATCATTTGGGAGTTGTAGTTGCTGAGATTTATAGTTCATCTACAATCTGAACTCTGAACTCCACCAACAATAAAATTGAACCAAATCAACCAAACTTGGCACACAGAACTCCCATGACCAATAGAAAATACAAGAAGGATTTGGTTGGCGTTGACCTTGAGTTTTGGAGTTGTAGTTCACCTACATTCAGAGAGAAAGAGAACTGTGGATTCAAACAATTATGGATCTGGACCAAACTTGGCACAAGTACTCAGTATGCCCAAATGTGAACATTGGTGGGGTTTGGGGGAAATAGACCTTGACATTTGGAAGTTGTAGTTGCTGAGAGTTATAATTCACCTACAATCAGAGAGCGTTCTGAACCTCACAAATGATAGAATTGGGCCAAACTTCCCACACAGAACTCCCATCACAACCAGAAAATACTGTGTTTTCTAATGGTCTTTCGTAACCCCTCTGACACCCCCTGGCGACCCCCCCCCCCAGGGGTCCTGACATGGAAATAAATAAAATTTAAAAATCAAATGGCTTCCAGGTGCACGCCCCAAGTCCCCCTTCGTACATATGCCAAGTTTCAAGTGTGTGTTTCATCTCTTCGGAGTTCTTGACACGTGTCAGACCACTATCTCTATTTCTACTTTATAACTTCACCATTGTGTTTCCATGGCTTACAGATTAACATGATGCTGGCGAACCTGTATAAAAAGGCGGGCCAGGAACGCTCCTCTGTGACAAGTTACAAAGAAGTTCTGAGACAGTGCCCACTTGCTCTTGATGCCATCCTAGGTAGACATGTTTCTTGTTATCAGTGATTATTGTCAAACCATCTTGCTGAGAGCTGGAGCATGCCACAATAGCCACTCTTTGCTGTCAGTACTTTCAGTAAGATGAATACATAGTTATCTTATCTCAGCTGCTTCCTCCCAATCTGTGCATTGTCCCTCTTTGTTCATTTCAGGGCAAACACTTAAATAGGAATAGGAATGCAAAAAAAGGTGCATGCTGCCAGCCCCATGTGATCTCCTTGGCCAGAACAGGAGTGACCACTATCATTGCTTCTTATTTAGGTTTGTTGTCGCTATCAGTGAAAGGTGCAGAAGTTGCCTCCATGACGATGAATGTGATTCAGAGTATCCCAAACTTGGATTGGCTTTCAGTGTGGATCAAAGCGTATGCGTTTGTGCACACAGGGGATAACACCAGAGCCATTAACACCATCTGGTAAGAGTCCAGGACAGGCTTCTTGAAGAACATCTGAGTTGCTTCTGAGAGAAATGCATTTTTACTACCACATTTTTATTTGGGTTCTTAATTGTTTATAGAATTTAAGAATACTGTACATTATGTTGTATTTGACGGCTTCCCAGCTCCATTTCATAATGTAATGCTCTCACTGTACTGTCCATCTGTAATTCTTCAATACTACAGGGTTAGTCAAAATGAATAGGCCAATAAGAAAATTAATTTTAGACGAATGTATGTTTACTGTAACCAAACCACAGCTATGTAGCGACAGATAAACTATCAAAGTTTTTTTTGAGCAACACACATGTACGTTAATGCCGCTAGGGGTCGCTGTTTTCAAAATGGCGGAATCAAGCAAAGAGAAGGCGTTTTGTGTGATGACATTTGCTAAAACAATGTCAGTAATTACGGTCCAGCGAGAATTTCAAGGGTTAGGGTTAGGGTTAGGGTTAGGGTTAGGGTTAGGGATAGGGTTAGGGTTAGGGTTAGGGTTAGGGTTAGGGATAGGGTTAGGGTTAGGGTTAGGGTTAGGGTTAGGGTTAGGACCTCAACGAACACCTTCCCAGACGTTGCTGCATTCGATGCCATTACGTCGGATGTGCTGCAACGGATGTGGAATGAACTGGACTATCGCTTGGACATCTGCCGTGTCACACGGGGCGCCCATATCGAACATCTCTGAAGGTGAGACAAAACTTTGATAGTTTATCTGTCGCTACGTAGCTGTAGTTTGGTTACAATAAACATACATTCGTCTAAAATTAATTTTCTTATTGGCCTATTCATTTTGACTAACCCTGTATAATAGATAGATGTAAATACTCCACATTTAAGTTGATATTGCGTTCTCTTTTTTTTCAATTTCTTTTACTCTTGTAAGCTCACTGGAGAAAAAGTCACTCCTGAGGGATAACGTGGATATACTGGGAAGCTTAGCAGATCTGTATTTCAGAGCTGGTGACAATAAGAATGCCATTCTAAAATTTGAGCAAGCACAAATGTTGGATCCGTATTTAATAAAAGGTAAGTCCATCGCCAATATATGTCTGAATCCCATAAATATGGTTAGTTGCAGGGATCTGGCTCTGTTTCCACCTAGTGGGCGGATCTTCCTTGTGGAGGCCCAGTTGGCACTTTTAGATTGAATATAGAACACAAGTGATTGGGATAAATCTTTTATATGAATGAAGACTTATATCATATTTACCTGAATCTAATGCTCTTTTTTTTTTTTTTTTTGCTAAATTACCTTCCCAAAATTAGGGTGCACTTTAGATTCGCATAATATGGTGATTTTACTACTGATCCAAAGCAAAAGGAGAAGCAGCTTCAAGAACTCCTCTTTGAGGGACCTCATCTCTCACTTAATTGCATTGGCTCAATGCTATGACATCCTGGGATTTGTAGTTTGATGAGGCATCAGCATTCTTTGGCAGCTCCCATGATCTCAAATTATGACCCCTGGGCATTGAGCTAGGGCAGTTAAAGTGGATTCAATCTACAGCATAGATGCACCTCAAGGATATCTTTTCCATTGCTGGAAATTTTGGTGCTCTTAACACAAGAAAATTTCCCAAAGCAATTTAGAATAGTCTGAAAACAAAGAAAGCAGTTTTAAATAGTTGAAAACTTATGTAGATTTGAGGTAAGATTTTTATGTGCCTAAAGATATGATTTTTTTTTAAATGTTCTAACTTGGTTCTGGAATGAAATTAGCATCAGTGCCATTGGCCTCCGGGGAGGTCATTCCAACAGTTAATTCAGAAGTATATCCTGTTAAATTCAGAGAATCCTAAATAAGTAGAAGCAGGCGTGCAACTTTAACTGCTTTAATAAAATGGGGGAGGGAGGGGTCAATATAGTAAGGCCCCTGTATACATTCTCATCTGGACTGTGGTTATGTGAAATTGCAAATATAACCAAATGCCATTGAATTATCTCACTTTCAATCCCATTGTATTGTACAATTGCATTGGAGGACCCAGTGATTCCTAGACAGGTATCCTCTTTTGGAATTTGATAGGTCTTCCAAGCGTAACTTCTGGGGGAAGTATACCTAGAAAATTTCCAGAGTCCATTTCCTCCCAGGTGTAGATTAGTGAAATGGGTTTGGAAGTTACAGGAGTCTTGTATCTTTGTTTGTAGTTTCTCTAGCATTGAAATTAAATCTAGGACAAATTAGGTAGTCCAAAAAAAAAAAAAAAAACAACAACAACCCTGTCTGTCCTTATGCTTGCTAATGTAAGAGAAAATTAAATTAAACATACAAACAAAATGTATAATTGGCTTTGAGTATCCACTTCTTTCCTTTTGTGTTTAGGAATGGACGTGTATGGGTACTTGTTAGCTCGTGAAGGACGCTTGGAGGATGTGGAGAATCTAGGCTGTCGGCTCTTCAATATTTCCGACCAGCACGCAGAGCCTTGGGTGGTATCGGGGTAATAGCATGCTGCTTTCTACCTTTTGGCTCCTCTGTTGAACTGTTTTGAGTGTTTTGAATGCTGAAATTTACAGTTGCATTTCTTAATTTTAGTAGGAAAGACCCGTTACTGGATGCAAAATGATTTGCATCATCAAAACTAGTAATTGAAAGTTTTCAATGATTCTTTAAGCACATCATAGTGACAAAAGCCCCTACTATGTATCCGGTCCCTTTAGGCTCTAGATCAGTGGCTCTCAACCTGTGGGTCTCTAGATGTTTTGGCCTTCAACTCCTAGAAATCCTAACAGCCGGTAAACTGACTGGGATTTGTAGGCCAGGTTGAGAATCACTGCTCTAGGTAGTTAGTCCATCCACCAAGGGTATTGAATACCCACAGGTTTCAATCTAAAGTGTAAGCATCTTTATTTAGAAAAGTAAAATAAAGGGAAGAGGCAGGCAAATTTCACATAACCAGAAGAAAGCTTAGAAGATTACAACAACAGAGAAGACAAAGAATTGGAAAGCACGAGAATACATGGTCAAGATTATAAACTACGGGCATATGCAGACGATATTATTTGTATAATAGAGGATCCGGAGAAAAATTTGGGAAAATGGATAAGAACCATAAATGAATTCGGCGAGGTAGCGGGTTTTAAATTAAATCTAGATAAGACAAAAGCCCTAACAAAGAACATCACACGAAAAGAAAAGGAGAAATTGGCAGAGAAATGGGACATCCAGATTGTAACTAAATTAAAATACTTAGGTATAATATTAACAGCTAAGAATCTACAGCTACTACAGAATAATTACATCGAAGGATGGAAAAAAATGAAAAAAGAATTGGAAAGCTGGAGGAATCTGAATTTGTCACTCTTACGGAGAATCGCTAGTGTAAAAATGAAAATATTACCTAAAATGATTTTCCTCTTTCAAAATTTACCTATAATTAGAAATCAAAACATATTAAAAGAATGAAACAAGGAGATAATGAAATTCATTTGGCAAGGCAAAAAAGCAAAAATTAATTTCAAAAATATGATAGAGGACACAAAGAGGGTAGGATTTGCAGTGCCCGATTTAAGATCATACTTTGAAGCCAGTGCATTAATGTGGGCCAAGGACTGGGTAGAACTGAAAAAGGAGAAACTGCTTACTTTAGAAGGAATTGAGTTAAGAACAGGCTGGCACCATTACCTATGGTACGAAGGTCAAAAAAAGGAAAAAAAAATCGGGAACCACTTCACCAGATCGGCTATCATAAAGATTTGGCAGAAATATAAATCAAAAATCTGTGACAAAACTCCCTTATGGTTATCCCCCTTGGAGGCCACGCAAAGAAGGGAAATGGGATGGAATAACTGGCCCAAGTACAAAAAACTATTAAAAAAGGAAACAGGAGAGATGGTTATTAAAACACAACAAGAAATGAACATGATAAATAAAAATATATCGTGGTTTCAACATAGACAAATAACTGAGTGCTACAAAAAAGACAGAAGGTACGGTTTTCAAGAACAGGATACCTTCTGGGATAAGATACTAAAAATGGATAGAAAGATAATAACAAAATTATATAAGAAATTGTTAGAATGGAATTCAGAAGCAGAAGGAGAAAAAAAATACATGAAAAGGTGGAACGAGAATTTGGGAAAAACAATTAAAAAAGAGGATTGGGAAAAAATTTGGAGAACAAAACTTAAATATACATATGCAATAGAATTAAAAGAAAATTGGTTGAAGGTAGCACATAGATGGTACATGACCCCCCAAAAATTGAATAATTCGTATAAAAAATTAAATTACACATGTTGGAAGTGTGGGAAGATGGAGGGCTCCTATTTCCATATGTGGTGGTCGTGCCAAAAAGCAAAAGTATATTGGGAAAAAATCCATAGAATAATACAGGAAATCTTAAATATAAAATTACCATTCACGCCTGAGGCATTTTTATTAGGAATATTCGATGTAAGAATGGAAAGAAATACAGACAAACTCCTCTTCCTATTGAACACAGCCGCAAGAATTTGCTATGCGAAACTCTGGAAAAAAGAAGAAATACCGGAAACAAAAGACTGGATAGAAAAAATACTAGACATTAGAAATATGGATAGATTAACATATCTGTTATCCAAAAACAAAGGAACCCCAATAAAAGAAACTGATTGGACAAAGGTGACAAATTATGTTAACCAATTAAATAAAAATACAGAAGAATAAGTAGAAGAGAAGAACAGAGAAGAACTCAAAGATGGAAGAAGGAAAAGGAAGACCCACTTGGTAGACACAAAGGAAGTCAACGAGAGAGACAATAACACCTGTCTCCAAGTTTTATTTGTTTTTAATCTTTAATCTTTACTTTTCTCTACTTTCTATTACCCTCCAACTTTCTGCCCCCCTCCACCACTTTTCTCCCTTCCCCCCATCTTCCCTTCTCTACTTTTCCCCTCTCCCCTCTACTTTCTATTTCTAGATGACTTTGTAACATAAAAGAAACTTTCAATAAAGATTATTTTTTTTAAAAAAGAAGAAGATTACAACAACAACAACAATAATGCCTGCAACAAAGAACTGGTGGGATCACAAAAAGTTACAGAGAATGAACACGTCAAGCTACTCTGAGACTTCCGAATTCAGACAGACAGAGTTTTGGACCACAATACTCCTGACCTCACAATCGTGTTAAAAAAACAAATTATGGATCGTCGATGTTGCAATCCCAGGTGACAAAAGGATTGAAGAGAAAAAACTGGAAAAGCTGACACAATATGAGGATTTAAAAATCGAACTGCAAAGACTGGCACAAGCCAGTCAAGGAGGTCCCAATAGTGATCGGCACACTGGGTGCAGTGCCTAAAGACCTTGGCCTGCACTTAAACACAATTGGCGCTGACAAAATTACCATCTGCCAGCTGCAGAAGGCCACCTTATTGGGATCTGCACGCATTATTCGCCGATACATCACACAGTCCTAGACACTTGGTTAGGGTCCAACGATTGATCCAATTCAACAGCCAGCAGAGTGTCTGCTGTGGACTCATCTTGTTGTGTTTCAAATAATAATGATGATGATTTATTTATACCCCAGTGTTTTCTGAACATTTATTTTTAATTATTTGAATTCTTGCTATAGGGACCTTGGTCATGTATGGTAACGTGATTGTGAGGAAAATCAAAGTAATAATAAGTTTGGTTAGGTCAGGCTGACCTCTCATTCCTTCGGACATACTGGTCGCCCCATCTGTCCTCCATCTGGCAGCACCTTTTCCTCACATTTTTTCTCTACGGACTCTTCACTACCTTTTACTTCCTCATAAGCACTCATTATGGCAGCATCTATAACCGGTTTACAACCTAAATTATGACATGTGATTTTTTTTTTTTGCTATAGCTCTACAGGATTTGAAAATTATTTAACTGGGTTCTTCCTTCCTGTTGGTGTTTATGCAATGCCTGCTCTCTCCTAGGCCAAGGAGAAAGCAATTGTGACAAGTTTAGGGGCGATTTTTCAGCCCGTGACTCATAGGGAGGCAAATAGAAAGCCAACAAAGCTGGAAATTGTCTGGGAGTCCATTTTTTGATAAATTAATTTCTTTAAAAATACCGAACAGTGTAGGGGAAAGGGTTGCAACCAGTGTAAAATGTCACACCCCACTGTTGCCTCCTCCTTTCTGCAGGTGTCATAGTTTCTACAGCAAGCGCTATTCCCGGGCCTTATATTTAGGAGCCAAAGCAATTCAGCTGAATAGCAACAGTGTCCAAGCTTTGCTGCTGAAAGGGGCAGCTCTTCGAAATATGGGCAGAGTGCAGGAAGCCATCATCCACTTCCGCGAAGCCATACGGCTCGCTCCTTGCAGGCTGGACTGCTACGAAGGTATGTGAAGATGGCAGATTTTGAGGAAATGTGCGCTCTTGAATCTGGTGGCAGAGTGGAAATCCTTGTAGGCTGTCAAATGCACTACATCCCTGAGTTCGCATATTTTTTGCGTGTCCGGGTCCTTCCCGAAGGTTTTGAGCTGCCAAGCCAATGTGCAAAATTCTTTGATAGTTGCTTCAATGAGACTTTTGAGCTAAATAGATAACACACACACCACCTGCTGTAAATGGTACTGAAATTTTAAAAATCTGGCTGTATCTACAGATAATAACTTTGACCCCTTCGCTCTCCCAGGCCTCATTGAGTGCTACTTGGCATCAAATGGTCTCCGTGAAGCCACAGTTATGGCGAATAATGTCTACAAAACCCTGGGAGCCAATGCACAGACGCTGACTCTTTTGGCCACCGTTTGCCTAGAAGATCCTGTGGCACAGGAGAAAGCAAAAACTTTACTGGACAAAGCGTTGACACAGCGCCCCGATTACATCAAAGCAGTGGTCAAAAAGGCAGAGCTTCTCAGTAAGTTTCCTACCCTCTTCTCGTGCTTGTTACAACCTTGTCAGCATTGTTTTCTAATCAGCGAGTGTCCCTCCAAAGCAGAATCACTTCTGCCCAGCCTCGGAGGTACCAAAGCTCCTCAAAATATAGCTGCGCTTTTGACTTCCTGCATCTTTTTCTCTCTTTTTTGGAATGGGCTACCGGCTGCCAGGTCTTGGCTTAGAAATTGGAACTGCAGCCTTTAGTCAGTTGATAGGGTTGGGCTGACTTTCTACAGGAGTATCCCCCATCTAACCAGACAGTCAAATAATGTATTCTTAATACAGAATTTTAGCTAAACTTTTATTTTAAATTATTGTAAGCCATCTTGCGTCCCATGGAGAGAAAGACAAGAGTGTAAACATTGAATAAAATACATTTTAAAATGATTTTTAAACTATATCCAAAAGCTGTGAACTCTCTAGTCAACAGAGATGATTTTAAGTGCAGGATATCCCTGATATAGGTATCTTTAAATCTGTGTCAACAGGCCGGGAACAGAAGTATGACGATGGGATTGCTTTGCTGAGGAATGCTCTGGCCAACCAGAGTGACTGCATTCTGCATCGAATGTTAGGGGACTTCCTCGTAGCTGTAAATGAGTATCAGGAAGCCATGGACCAGTACAGTATTGCTCTAAGGTAACTTTCTGGAAATATTGTTGTCATTACCTGATGGTGTAGACTTGCAACTCCTATGGCCAGCCTCTTCCTTAATCTCCTGATTGATTCTCCTTCCTATCATTTGATCATATGTGGGCTTGAGTTTAGGTTACAGTCTTATTTTGAATCTGTAGATGGATAAATTCCCTGTTCGCTTACTCCTCATCCACCATCACAGAATTGCCTTCAGTGCACTACAAATGGTGGGTAGGCCACAGCCTCACTCTTTAAACTAAACTTGTGTGATGCTTTTAAGAATGTTGGCTGGCCAACTGGCAAATTAGACTTTTGAGTAAGTTTGCAGGATACTTTCTTGAGTGCACTTACTTTGAACCCAACATTTCATCTTTGTGAAACATCTCCCCTTCTTTCCTATGGTCCTGGAGCCATAATGGAAGGAATGCCTGTGAGTTGAAGCTGTGCTCAAGTGCTTCCTTACAGTAGTCAAAGATTGCATTGTCTGTCTTACCTCTTGTGTGTTTGTGATTGTTTTGAGAGTTATGCATATAAGCTGCAAGAAGGCTCAGGGAGTTTTGCTGAGCTTGTTCAAAAGCTAAACTCTGTAAGAATGTAGAGTGGACGCTTATGAGCCACTTCCGCCTCAGAGTGTGCGAGGATGGTTAAATGTATCTCTGGGGAGAGAAACAGGAGCTGTATGCATCAGAAAGAGTATGCTGAAGCCAGGAAGCTAAAAAAACCCACATGGGCAGACCAGTCTTTTTCATTTCAGGATATCTTTTTGTTCTTCTGTTCTCTCAGTTTGGATCCAAATGATCAGAAGTCACTGGAGGGAATGCAGAAGATGGAGAAAGAGGAAAGCCCTACAGATGCTACTCAGGAAGAAGATGTGGATGACATGGAAGGCAGTGGAGAGGAAGGTGATCTGGAAGGTAGTGACAGTGAGGCAGCCCAGTGGGCGGATCAGGAACAGTGGTTTGGCATGCAGTGAGGTGGCCTTGAAGGTGCCCGGGAATCATCTCACGGGAGGCGAGATCCACGATCCCTTGCGTCTTCCTGGTCTGACAAACACCAAGAGCAGCATGTGCTGCTGGAGAAACTGGACCGAGGCCCCATCCAAAACCATGAAACCATTGAAAAAAAGTATTTGTGTTCTGGGTCTGCGTTCTGCTCCGTGAAAGCTGAGCAACTTGAGTGGCTTGGTGGGGAAGCATTGATGTCAAGCAGAGATTTTGAGTTCTTAGGTCTAAAATTAGAAGGTTTAAAGTGCATAAAGCATTCTCAAACAGACGAAAATGATGTTGCAACCATGCTGCCAACTAATTACGCTTGATCTCCAGTGGTGGATAAATGTAGGCTGCTCTTCTACCCTTTTGTGAAAGAAAGCTTGATGTCAGAACCTGTACAATGTCTTGAGATGCATGTCCTCCTCCAGAAACCAACAGGGGTCCCACAACGGAGCAGTCACTTTCCTCCCAGCCCTGTCCCTCTCTCCTGTGTTTTTGTGTAGGCCGCTTCACAAGCACACTCCAAAATAAAAAAAGCATGCCACTTCTGCACTAACAAGCGCCAAAGCCTCTATATGAGTCACGGGAAAATTGGAGCAGCTCTGAGGGAAATACAACTGGGAAGAGGCTCTTAAGATTGTTTCATACTGAGTAGCATCAAGTCACAATGCCTCACCCCCCCCCCCCCAATGCTCCCAAGAATATATGAATATTAAAACTTTCTTGTTCACACTTTGTGCTTTGTCAAGACACAGTCCAGCAAGAAGTTCTCCTGAGCAGGCCCTGTTGAAGCCTGCTGCAGAAAAGAATCCATAACTACAGCGGTTGTTCTTTTAAACATTTTCTCAACAAATAAGACTGTTTCCTTTGTCTTGCCTGCCCTTTGAGCCTCTTTGGGTTTTCGAATTGACATCTATTTTCTTATGACACATGCCAGGTAACAGGTGGGGTGGGGAAGATTTATTTATTTATTTATTTAGAGCATTTGTATCTCGTCCTTCTCAACCCCCGAAGGGGGGACTCAGAGCGGCTTACAATTGGCAGTCATTAGATGCCGACAAAGAAACAGTTAAAGCACAACAAATAACATAAACGGATCAACAACAGTAAAAATACATTAAAAATATTGGCCCTTAAACTATTAACACAACCAAGTCTGAGTCCGCAAATCCAAATTCAGAGTTCCAGTCCAAGGGTCTCTTCATTGACAATTCTCACGAGTCATTACAGTTGTTACTCAGTGAGCTGCCCGAATGCTTGGCCCCAAAGCCAAGACTTGAGGTTTTTTCCTAAAGGAGAGGAGAGAAGGAGTCACCCTGATTTCACTGGGGAGTTCATTCCACAGACAGGGGGGCCACCACCGGGAAGGCCCTGTTGTCCCCACCAATCGCACTTGTGAGGGTGGTGGGATTGAGAGCAGGATCTTCCCCAATGATCGTAAACTCTGAGGTGGGTTATAGAGGGAGATACTTTCAGGCAGGTAAACTGGGCCGGAACCATATAGGGCTTTATAAGTCAAATGTATTTCAGTCCTTTCAATAATTTCCCCTCCATCCCCTGGAAATAGAACTTGGCTTTTCTGCAGAAGAAGACTTTATTCTCTTGTGTCCTGGATGTTCCCAACAGTCATGGTTGTCTTTTTAGGCATTAGAGGGTTGGTTGTTTGTATTTATTTTGGAAGTTGAAGGGTTCGTTTATGTTTAATTCACACTTGCCTTCAGAGGCCAGAATTGTGTCCAAGACCTGAGGTGGCAATAAATTCTGAAGCAGACTTTCCCCATGGTTGCACTTTTTGTGTTCCTTGTGGAGTTGAATCTTCAAACTGCAGAAATAAACTTCATAAAACAAAATTAATTTGAGAAGTTACCCAGAGACAGGAATGGAAGGAGATAACTCGTAAGGCCGAAGGAAAATGGCTAAAACCATCCTTAGGTTCACGATACTCATTCCTTCTTTGAATCTTGTTCTGACTTTCTAAGTCTTATGCAAGCTTAATACTTGTCATAAAGCAAAGGATGGCTCATTTACTTTTTGCAAAGGTGACATTGGAACCTGGCTCTTTATTGTAGTTTACTACACTCTATGGAAACAAAAGTTTTGCCTCAGGGATCCTGCAGCCCCGAACAGCAGAAGAAAGAGCTGTATTTGGTTGCTGTCAGTCATCCTCTCTATACCTTTGCAAACCACAATTTCCGAACGGCAAAGCTTTCCACCACCACTTGCAAAAAACGGAGAAGGAGGAGAGAGTAAAACCCTATCAGCACACCCAAAAGGAAAGGAATTAGAGAGGAAAAGGTTTTCTGTAGAAAGGAGCAACTAGGAGATGTTCAGGATTCTAAGGAGGGAGCAACTTAATGGAACTGCTGTTGGTGCTGCATTCAGCCTTGGAAGAGATCCCAAGAACCATCCAGTCCAACCCCACTCTGCCAGGCACAACCCAACTGGACAGATGGCCATCCAGCCTCTGCTCAAAATCTTCCAGAGAAAGAGATTTCACCTTACTTAAGTGATCCCTTGTAGCCCGAGGATGATGGTCTTCCAAGTATGGTCTCTTGAAGGTGGGTTTGTAAGTGGCTGTGGAGCCCTATTCTTGATCCATGTGTTCTTCCACAGGGAGGGCATCAGTTTCCAGGTGGAAGACAGCCCTGGTCAGGGTTGGCTTGATGCTCCTTCCTCTTGGTACCTTTCTCCCTTTCTCCCTCCATTCGTGCCTCTTTTAATTCTGCAGCACTGCTGGTCACAGCTGAGCGCTCAAGGGCCAGGGCTTCCCAGTTCCCAGTTTTTAAGGTTGGATTTAACCCCATCTTTAAATCTCTTTTCCTGTCCATCAACTTATGTTTTGTGTTCTTGAGTTGGGAGTATAGTACCTGTTTTGGGAGATGGTGATTGGGCATTCAGACAACGTTGCAGTGCAGGGGAGTTGATGGTGTAGGAGCATGACTTAAATGCTCGTGGTCTTTGCTTCTTCCAGCACGCTGACATTTGTCCGCCTGTCTTCCCAAGAGAATTGCAGGATTTTTGGGTGGCAATACTGATGGAATCGTTCCAGGAGTTGAGTGTGACATCGGTAGACAGTCCACGTTTCACAGGTATATAGCAGGATTGGGAGGACAATAGCTTTATAAACAAGCACCTTGGTCTCTCTACGGATGTACCAATCCTCAATCACTTTCTGCTTCATTTGAAAAAATGCTGCACTCGCAGAGCTCAGGTGGTATTTTTCGGTGTCAATACTGACTTGTGGAGAGGTGGCTGCCAAGGTAGCGGAAATGGTCAACATTTTTTAACGTTGCACCATTAAGCTGTACGTCTGGCATTGGAGAGGGGTTGACTGGAGCCTGCTGGAAGAGCAATTAGTTTTCTCAAGGTTCAATGACAGGCCGAGCTTGTCGTATGCTTCTGCAAAGGTGTTTAGAGTGGCTTGTAGGTCTTCTTCTGAATGCACACAGACGACTTCGTCATCGGCCGACTCCAAGGAAACAGATACCACCAGACTCCAAGGAAGCATTGAACTGCTCTTAGTGTCAGGCAGTTCTTCCTAGCGTTTAGGTGGAATCTCTTTTCCCCGGTGGTTGAATCAGTTGCTCTGTGTCCTAGTCTCAGATCAGCAGAAAACAAGCCTCCCCCCTCCTCAGTGGCACCTCCTTTCAAATATTTAAACATGGCTATCATGTTTCCTTTATCTTGACCATCTCTTCTCCAAGCTAAACACTCTCGGCTCCCTCAGCAGCTCCACAAAAGGATTAGTAGTTTCTAGACTTTTGACTGTTTTGGCCATCTTCCTCTGGATGCCTTTCAGTTTGCCCATATCCTCCTTGGATTGTGGAGCCCAGAACTGGACATGAGTAAAAAAGAAGCTGCCTATTAAAAGAGCTGCCAAGCTCAAATTGGTTTGGCAAGAAGATGGCACCGTCTACCAGCCCAATGCCACAATCTGCTGCTGCCGCCTATGATTTAGAGTGACTCAGAGTTTGCTCATGGAGCAAATTAATACAATGCTGCTCAGCCGGGTTCAAGGCAGAGAAAGGAGACTGGCGTTTTGAACCGACAGGGCAAATATCCCCGCAAGCCAAGGCCTTGCTGGTGGGCAGTTTACATCACCCATAGTCACTTCCTTCGAATGCCTCTGGACCGCCTGCCTCCAGTGTTAATAATGATGGATTTAATAGCTTTTAGTGCCATGCAGGGAAGGAGCATTGGAAGTTTTACTGCAGCTGGTGATGGATATTTATATCATGAAATCTCTCATTAAAATGACTGCCAACCACCCTTTCTCCAGCATACACGCAGGGGGGCTTTAATGGACTTGGAAAAACCACATTCCCTTGTTGCAGAAGAAGCTGCCTTTTTAATTTTTCTAAGTGCTTTTTTATGAGGCTGTGAGTTGCACGCCCACACCAGGGCTGCCGAAGCATGACAGGTTTTCTTTTCTTTTTTTTAAAGTACATTATATAAAAACAGACACCTACTGATGAAGACTTCATAGTTCCAGAGCAAGAAGATGTCAATTGGCAGTTATGTTCTTCTGCGCAGAGACAAAGTTCTACATAAGGAATACATATTATTTCATTTGCAACATTTACCGTATATACTCGAATATAAGCCGACCCAAATATAAGCCGAGGCACCCCATTTTACCACTAAAAAACAGGGAAAATTGCATTGACTTGAGTATAATCTGAGGGTGGAAAATGTAGCAGCTACTTGTAAATTTCAAAGCAAAAATAAATACCAATACAATTACATTACTTGAGGCATCAGTAGGTTAAATGTTTTTGAGTATTTGCATAAAACTGTAGTTTAAGATAAGACTGCTAAACTCTGATTAAACCATTATTCTAGCCTTCTTCAATGTACATGTGCTTATGTATCCTTCCAATACTAATAGAGTAAAATAATAAATTTAATAAAAATAAAAATAAGAGTAAAATAATGTAAATGTAATTATAACTAATAATAGAGTAAAATAATAAATGTAATATTAACAATATTAAATAGAGTAAAATAATACATGTAATTATAACAGTAATAGTAGAGTAAAATAATAAATGTAATAATAGAGTGAAATGATACATTTAATAATAATAATAATAATAATAATAATAATAATAAAGTAAAATAATAAATGTAATAATAATAATAATAACAGAGTAAAATTATAAGTAACCTTGACTTGAGTATAAGCCAAGGGGGACTTTTTCAGCCTAAAAAAGGGCTGAAAAACTAGGCTTATATTCGAATATATACAGTATATTGCTTTTTTGGCTGGAAGAATGGAGAAGGCAGCTCATACATTAAAAAAAAAGCAAAATAATGGCAAACAGAAATATGTTAAAACGGGAGATGCTGTCAGTTTAAAGCAAGCCCAAACTCAAGAAGAAACAACACCTACAACATACCACTGACAATATTCACCAAAGAGCCAAACAGACTAGAAGCAGAGAGTCAGCATGATGCAGTCTGAGTCAAATTGAGACGAACTGAATACCTAAGTGATGTTGAGTTTTAAGAGTCCGCTGTGTATTTTATATTGTACAATTATTTTTGTGTGCGTGTTTTTTAAAGAGACATAACCAGACCTATCATCTGTGGCTCTAAACGTTTGCGTACTTAGCTTATATACAAATCTGCAACGATGATCCAACAACACAAGAGGTATACTTGCCTAAACTCTGAACTGGAAGGGTCCAAGGGCAGAAACCCTACCTGATCAGGGCTTTTTGCATTATCAGGAGAGGCATCTAATTCCTACCAACCACTAAATTTTTCAGAGTTGGGACTCACGACCGGGAAATGTTCCAAACGCCTGAAAATGCAGCTAGCAATGTTGTGGGTTATTTCCAGTTCCCATTGCCAAGCTGTTTTTGATGCATCTTTGGAATCGAATTCCATTCAAATCCTCTGTGCCGCTGGTTCATCAGTTATTTTTCCCCTCCAGTGTCCTCGTCTCTATATTTAAACCCCTCTCCTCCGCCCCCAGCTCAAATTCTTGCCAAATGTATCCCAATGACTTGCCATGGCTAGCCATACTCCAGGAACATTCAGCGTCTGTTGTTGTTGTGTGCCTTCAGGTCATGTCTGATTTAAGGTCATCCTAACATGGGGTGTTCTTGGCAGAGATGTGTTTAGAGGGGGTTTGCCCTTATGTTAATCTGAAGTGAAGAGAATATCACCTACCCAAGGTCAACCAGGTTTCCATGGCCAAGCAGAGATTTAAAACCTGGTCTCTCAGATTCTAGTCCAGTGCTCAAACCATTAGACCTCGCTGTGTCACTCAGGCTGGACTTTAGTAATACAAGGCAGGACCAGCCCAACCAGAGGCAAATGGCAAGATGGGCCCCCTTTCTACATACAGGATTCAACTAGGTTAGCAGTGGAATTCATCTTAGGACCTCATCCCATTAGGAGCATGAAGTAGGGGGAATGGTCTTCTTACTGTTGTATTTCGTGCCTTTCAGTTTCTTTAGAAAAACAGATCATTCATTTGCAGCCATCACATGTGATGTATTCTGTCTGCTTCTACAGGTGTCCTCCACTTTCTGAGGTATCACATGGGTAAGTCTATTCTCAGCCCATACTGCTTTATTTACCACAAAGGCTATTGCTAGGTGAAGTGTCCCTTTGTGATGTCACTGGGAAAGAAAGGTGACATGTCTATTCTTGTTATGTAGACACTGCAAGAGATGCCCTCTCAAAGCTGGAGAAGGGAGAAAGCAGGTGGGCAGTAGGCCCATGCTGGATATGTATGCTGCACAAATATATACAGAAGTCTTGTTATCCAACCTTCGCTCATCCAATATTCTGTATTAACCAATGCAAACTGCCTCCCGTCCGGATCCACAGCTATTTCAATACATTGTGATGTTTTGGTTCTAAATTTATGAATACAGTAATTACTACATAACGTTACTGTGTATTGAATTGCTTTTTCTGTTGATTTGTTGTAAAGCATGTTTTGGTGCTTAATTTGTAAAATCGTAACGTAATTTGACATTTAATAGGCTTTTCCTTAATTTCTCCTTATTATCCAACATTTTCACTTATCCAACGTTCTGCCGGCCCCTTTATGTTGGATAAGCGAGTCTCTACTGTATATATTCCCTACTGTAAACAATGGTTATCTAGACCATTTAGTGTTGAGTATAAGCATTGGTATGTTCTTCTTAAAATTAAAAAGAACATCTAAAACTAGTGAAGAGAATAAAATACATTATAAGGTATGGATGATATTATTAATGTGCAGCTGCTCCTCAAGTTTCTCATGTAAGAGGCACACACAAGGTGGGGGGGGGGGGAGAGCTATATGAATCTACGAGCAGGTATTGTTGGCAAGTATTGCTAGGAACACGCTTGGAAAAAAAAACCTGAAGCACAGGGTTATTAAGAAATCAAAATGGAAAAACATGTTGTGCATCAAAGGTTACACCTTAGGAGGTGACCAAGGATTTGTGCATGGGGTTCAATAGTCTTTTTTCTTTTCTTTTAGTAGCACACTAGAAGGCAGATTTGGAAAGGCTCTTCAGTGATGGTTGGGAGTAGCTTGCTTTTAGAATAAACTCATTATTCCAAGCCATTTGGTATTGGTTCCCTGGTTTCTGGCTCTGCAACTTTCTCAACAAGCCACTCTTGACATTATTTAGAATGACCAGATTGAGCTCTCTGGACTCTACTGTATGAGATTACAGATAAGACTTTGTATTTTGGAATATTTTCCTATGTAAAAAGCTCCTCAAATGTGGCAGATCAGGAGCTATATGCTAAAATCTGACAGCAATATATTGGTGGCACATTTTCTTTTCCCCCGAACACATGGGGAAACGTTCTGGCACCCCATATTATGAAGCTAAACTTTTCAGAACTATCTCGTTTTTATGTAATGTGAAGATAACTTGGAGCTAAGGAACAAGATGCATGTTCCCACCGCATCTAAAAATACATCCAGACAACACAGCAACTACATATTGTATAAGTTTATTTTACCCAAAACTAGGATGGTAGTAGGTGTGATGCTAGTCACCATCAGCATTGAATCAGACAATATTATTTACAGTTTCTAAAAAAAGTCACACATGCTGTCTTTATGAACTGACTAGGTTCATTATTAGGGATTTTTGTTTTCTTCGTTATGATAAAACGCATCACGTGTATTGCACCAATGTGTGTCTACGGCTTTACTTTTAAATAAGTTACATTATTACAGTGCAAAATAAGTTTATTTGCACACTCCGAGATCTTTTTTTTTTGTTCAAAAAGCTGAAGTTATGGAATTGACGTTTTTTAACAGTTTCTTAAACATTCAGCAACAGTACCATTTGTCAATGAGTCTGTATAAATAGATTTGCATATTGTACAGAGCTTTGTAAAGTGTTATGCTAAGATACAATAAAGATCATCAGCTACTTACAATTGAAAGGCATGCATTACAGTTTGATACTGTACATTTTATAAACTATGACGTTTTACACAACGCGATATGGAAAGAAAGAAAAAAGGGTAAAACTTGGCCAATCATCACTCTTTAATTCTTGCTTAGCAGTTTAGGGAGTCTTGACTTCATGCAACCCCAAAACGTCTTTTGCAAAGGTCTGTTTTCAGTTTAAAACTATATTGCACATTGGTAGATCTGCATAAAAACTGAAGCTTTAAAGAGCACCACACACTTCCTTCTTGGAACACAAGTTTTCAGTTCTATTTTTTTCTCCCTCCCTAAGGAAAGATATTTTGTTTTTCCATTTACAAGATTTCATGCAGATGTTTTCAATAGATGCGCTGCTAAAGACGCATGCAAGAAAATTAACCTTACAAGTCTGCAAAAATGTGTTTAGGGCTAAATGATTACTCCAGTTTGGCTGCAAAGGAAAAGAGAGAGAGAAAAGGGAAAAAAACATTAGTGAAAAGGATGAATAAAGAGAACTTAATAAAAGCAAGGACTTTGTTTTAAAAGCTCAGGCACGAAAGACCATTTTGACACAGTTTGATTGTGGGCCTCCCCATTTTTTCCAATGGGGAGAAACCAGGTTAATTGAAAAAAAAAAGCAATGAAAGAGAATTAAAAGCTGGAAGAACACCCCATTAGCAGTCCTCCGCCCATCACTCTTTAGGAGCCTGGGAGCTTTGCTCATGGTTTGGATGGCAGGCATCTAGCTAACTGCCAGGGCTTTTGATTTGGTAGCTGTTGCAAAAGGGAAGAATGGAGACACTGTACAGGATCGTCCATTCCCTTAAAAGGAACAGAGTCTGTAATGTGACAGCATAGGATTTCATTATGGAAGCCCCCTGAGAACTAATCAAGACAAAATCTCATCACTTACTTTGAATGGCCGACTGCATAAAAGCAGTTTCAGATTAACCACCCGTGATCAAGGCCAAAATGAGGTGGTTCTGGATCTCAGAGCAGTTCTCAATATAAGGTCCCTTTCTATGTGTGAGATCCATTCTGAGAGGCACAAAAGTTACCGAATACCAGGCAGAAGACAGCCCCCCCATCCCAAATCTTCATGTGTAATAAATAATAGTAATAATAGGTTTATTTTTAACCCGCCCTCTCTCCCCAAAGGGACTCAGGGCAGCTGAATTAATTCTCAACCTTCAGTGAGACTAACAGCCTGATTCCATGCATTGATACACAATTGCTCAATAACACTAAGAAATACTGAACATATTGGGAGTTACTGTTGAAGAGGAAGGAACCTACACCTTTTCTACTTCACACTGGGTGCCTAGCTTGAGAAGGGCCTGGAGCAATTGCTCTGGTTGAAGTACTGAGAATATGGCCCTGGCACCATGTGCCCAACGCCACAACAGGTTGAGCATCCTTTATCCAAAATGCATGGGACCAGAGTTTTGGATTTTGGAATACCTGTGTTTCCATACATCTGCATAATGAGGCATTTTGGAGATGGGACTCCAAGACTAAATATAAAAATCCATGTATGCTTCATATATACCTTATACACAGCCTGAAGCTAGTTTAATACAGTATACTTAAGAACTGTGTGCAAGAAATATTTGCGTACCCCAAACCATCAGATAATAGGTATAACTATGCCCATGTGGAGGATTTTAGATTATTTCAGATATCTGGAGAAGGAATGCTCAACCTGGACCATTCCTTTTAAGCTTTTATCTACGAACATGCCTTGGTTGTGAAAGCTTACTGAAAATGGGATAATAAAGTGCATCGTATGTTGGGGCTCTCTGGCACATCCAAATCCTTATTACTCCATTTTCCAACCCACAGCAAGAGTCACAAATGCAAGCTAGTTGCATTGTTGCATATGATTTCATTTGTGCACGTCCAAACTGGCAAACATCAGTTCTGTTGCCATCCCAATTAATTTCTTTTTCAAGATCTGAACCAGCAGCAAAATTTACAGCAGCCACTCCATTGTTCAGGGCACCTCTTTTTTTCTCAAACTGGAGTGCATTTTGTGCAGTGCTTTAAAATGTGAGTCCTTCAGGACATGTTGCTAGTTTTGAGGTGCAAACATAGAATCAAAGAGTTGGAAGAGACCTCATGGGCCATCCAGTCCAACCCCCTGCCAAGAAGCAGGAATATTGCATTCAAATCACCCCTGACAGATGGCCATCCAGCCTCTGTTTAAAAGCTTACAAAGAAGGAGCCTCCACCACGCTCCGAGGCAGAGAGTCCCACTGCTGAACGGCTCTCACAGTCAGGAAGTTCTTCCTCATGTTCAGATGGAATCTCCTCTCTTGTAGTTTGAAGCCATTGTTCCGCGTCCTAGTCTCCAAGGAAGCAGAAAACAAGCTTGCTCCCTCCTCCCTGTGGCTTCCTCTCACATATTATTTATACATGGCTATCATATCTCCTCTCAGCCTTCTCTTCTTCAGGCTAAACATGCCCAGCTCCTTAAGCCGCTCCTCATAGGGCTTGTTCTCCAGACCCTTGATCATTTTAGTCGCCCTCCTCTGGACACATTCCAGCTTGTCAATATCTCTCTTCAATTGTGGTGCCCAGAATTGGACACAATATTCCAGGTGTGGTCTAACCAAGGCAGAATAGAGGGGTAGCATTACTTCCCTAGATCTAGACACTATGCTCCTATTGATGCAGGCCAAAATCCCATTGGCTTGGATACTCATGTTTAACTTGTTGTCCACGAGGACTCCCAAGATCTTTTTCACACGTACTGCTCTCGAGCCAGGCATTCCCCATTTTGTATCTTTGCATTTCGTTTTTCCTGCCAGCAGCTTCTTGAACATGATGAGGAGAGACAGACATGGTGAAGATGTTCTATTGGCTTGTCTCTCCCCAATCTTCCAAATACAATGCATGCCTTTTTATTTTTTAAAAAGGTGGACAACAGAAGAACAGCAAACTTATCTTGTCCCTGGGAAACACATTTTCACTAGACACATGGCATACAAGCATATTTCTTCTCGTGGAAATTTAGAGCTAGGATAGAAGTTTTGTTCAAATTCAGGCTGCAGCCCCTAGCTTTGCTTACTCCTGTTCTATTTTCAGTTTGGTGTTAACAGAATTACTCTCTCCCCTTCCCATGGAAATTGTGTTAGAAAGTATGCAGAGAGTGTTTTGTTTTAATGACAGTGTTAATTGGTTGTTTTGTTTTAGTGCAGTGAGAGCAGAGATTAGGGAAAAAATGGTTAAGAAGTGCAAGAAGTCAAACGAGACAGGTGCAAAGACAGACAATTTGGGTTGTTTTACCTATGCCTCGCCCATCCTCTGCAATCATCCCCGTTTTTCTCCATTTGTCTTTTATCGGCCGTGTCCTTGGAAGACACTAGAAGACTGCTGTACTGCATTTTATCACCACAGTGTTTAGATCTTTCAACCAGGCAGAAGGCAGTCAATTACATGAAAAAGCAGCTCATGAATCCCTATCACCACCTGGCCAGCCACTTTGGGGTTTAAAAAAAAATGATTCAAGAGGCTATTAGCCCAAGGAGACAAGTGTAAGATTGAGAACCACTCGATGTTTTCTGTATCAAGTTTGCCAAACCTGGTTCTTGTTACTCATTTCAAAGGAATGGGTCACCTGTATAATCACAGACACTTATTAATGAAAGTGGACTGGGGTCCACAAAAGCTTAGAAATTTCTTTTGCTCCGTTAGTCTCAAGGATGCTACAGGAGTCCTTTGTGTCATTTTATGCTGGAACAGACTAGCTCAGTTACATTTTTGAAGAGCACTTATTATTTCTCAAGTGCATCTTGAACCAATGCAGAAGCTGAAGAATGGGTTCTATTAGCCCATCTTACATCTTAAAATGTTTCATTAGCCTGGTAAGTATGCATTTCCTTTGGGTCCATGAGTTCTTGATCACATTTTGGTACCATGAATTGGAAGTTATCAACTACTTATGCTACCATACCACAAACATGTATTTATTGTACCCTTTCTTCAGTATGAGGGCATAGAAGGGGGAGCTAGTAACACCGAGGAAGGCCACTTTGTAGCTGGAGCTATGCTTGAGAGATCCATGTTTGAAGCTATCACAAAAGAACATAGACTGGGGCTCACCTATCCCAGTGGGGAGAGCAATAGTTCTCCACAACTTGGAACAAATTTCCCCCTTAAATTTGCCCAGACTATGTAAAAAAAATTCTGCTTTCCCACTGAACTATGTATGGGCCTACCTATATGGGTCTATCTCATATGTCTTAAGACCTATATGTCTTAATCTGGAAATTTCTGGGCATCTAACCTGACTGTGACAGAGTGAGATATGGAAGGCAAATAAAGACACACTGGGAGAGGGGAGACTTTATACTGTAGCACACCTTATTTGCTTTGTCAGAGGAGATCAGAAATCTTCTACCAGAGTATATGTGGCCAACCAACATAGTGGTGACAGAAAAAGCTTTGTGATAGCCCTGCTTGAAAACAAAAATGTGATCTGACACCAATATTATGCTGTCATCTGTTCCCAGAACAGTGGACAAGAGGTCAAAGCCATCACATAACGGTGGTGAAGTTGTATGCAATACATACATACATCTATATACGTATGATTATATAGCTTAGATAATATATTGTATTATGGCGAGCACTAGAGTCAATAAGTATTTAGGATGATTTCTGGCATCTTTGCATAAAGATCAATTACTATTGTAAGGAACTGTTCAAACACAGACACATGTAAAATCTTCCATGATCAAGAAGGTTGACTTGATATATCCAAGAGCATCCACACTTTGTTAATGTGTGCCTTAAAGTTGCCTCTGACCTATGGCAATCCTAAGGGGAATGTATAATTGGCGTTTCTTGGTAAAATCTGTTCAGAAGAAGTCTTCCACTGCCTTCCTCCAAGCCTGAGTGGGACTTGCCCAAGGTCACCCAGTGGGTCTCATGGCGAAGCAGGAATTCAACCCTGATCTCCAGAGTTGCTGTCCAATGCTCAAACCACTATATTAATCTGGTTCCATGTTTAGACAATCAGAAATCCAGAGTGATCCAGTGCTAGTGAGAAGTTCTTTAGCACAACTACGGCCAAAGTTTAGTCTAAGAATTAGCCAGCAAGTGCTCCACTCACATAGCTGCTCCCCAGAACATTGTTTCCTATGTCTCCAAACTAAGCCAGGCTAATTCCATTGATCCAGCCTGTGTTTGTGAGGAGCAAGATGGCTTCCAACACAGCGGGGGCCATCAAAAAAGGTTTCCATCACAGACAGAGGTAAGTGAGAATGCAATTGCAAGAGCTGTATGCTCTGAAGTTAATCCAAAACGGTTCTGACACCTTTAGGACAAAAAGAAAAGAAGTCCAATAGTATCACAGCGTGACATAACCTACTCGGAACCGGCATCCAGATGCCTTTGTTACGCTTGAGATGCAAGGAAGAGGGCATCTATGACTAGTGGCTCTAAAAAAGCTGCCCCTGCATCAAGTCATGCTGGAGGTGCCAGCAATCACATTGATGGAAAACCTGTGATTTTTAAACTAGAAGACATTTCCTAAGCCTCCTAGGACACTGTTCCCACTGGTTTAGATTCTAAAGACTGATGCCAAAAGAAACCGGGGACACAAATACACTGGATATTAATGCTGCCATATACAGGACATGAAGAGTGGTGATAATAATGTAGCACAGCAGAATATTTGACAAAACGCAGCATGGAATGAAGGAAAAATTAGCATTTATTGTTAACATTTATACAGCATATGCTATCTTTTGTCTCTCTCTCTCTCTCTCTCTCTTTTTTTACACAGCATATCACCACTGAAATGGTGAAATGGAAGAAATACTCACTTCAGTCGATGAATGTTGGAAGGCATTGGAGAGAAACACCACACAGTTAGGACTGTTAATGAACTTACACATTGGTTGGTACAGGACTCAATTTGAACAGGGGGAAACACAACATCATGCGCTAACATTTATCGCAATAGAATGATGGTGGTTAGTGCCACATTAAAAATAAAAATAGTTCTATACAATATGTTCATTTGGTCATGTGGTATTTACAGATCTTACAAAAAACACACATGTACATACACGCACACACACGATTTGTTACTTCTCCACTTCAGGGTAGGATGTGGTCAGTGGATTATATGTGAGAGTTGTTCGGTTTTTTTCTAGGTCCCATTACAACTGCCCCCAATCAAAAAGGAATGGAAAGATCTGGCACATAGATCCTATTTGCTAAAATGGAACTCAAAAACCTTCTATATGATATAAATGAAATGAAAAGCAGTATTTTGTTTGTCAATTAAAAAACGTTTTATTATTCTTGTTTTGTCCTTTTAATTCATCCAGGTAGTCTTTTCCCTCTTTGGCCCTCCCCCCCACCCCACCCCCAAAGTGGGCAATGCTGGTGAAACAATGCGGTTACAATAAAAATGCATACGATATCTTTAAATAAATAATTCATGTTAAAAAACCTACATATGTTGGGGAGGGAGGGGTTGGGAGGGAATACTAACAGGTTGCCCCTGGAATGATGTTTTCTGCACCAGCAAGAATAGGCATACCTCTCACAAAGACAGGTGTAAACAAGATTTAGTCTGAATCTAAAAAAAAAAAAAGAATAGAAAGGAAAAGGCAAAAAATGGAAGGCGGGGAAGAAAGATACTGAGGTAGCAGTATATTCTGCCCAGTGCAGAAAAAACCAAATGAATGACAAATTAAGATTAGATGACCATGCAGAAGACAAATAGTTGCATGCTTTTAGTTTCAGAAAAACAAAAACACACATACACAGACATTCATTCCCTAAAATCTGCTACCAATTACAGTTTGCTCAAGATATAGTGTCCACTGGCACTCCCCCCAAAAAACACTTTTCTGATTTGTTTTTACAAGGATGAGTTGACTATTAAACAGAACACTGTACATGCTTCTCCTCTACAAAAAATATTTGCATAAAATAGTGTTAATTTCTCTGTACATGTCAATGGACACCCTAGATGTGTATAAAAGGCAGGGAGAGAGGGGGATACTACTTCCCCACTGGAGTCGGGGATCAAAAAAAAAGAAAAAAGGAAAAACCAAACGTTTTTTGAATATGGGAACCTCAGTCACCGGCAAATATGTTCATGTGAAAATTCAGCAGAATAAGACAATTGCTTTAAACAATAAAAAAAACTGATTAAGTTAAACATCGCTCTGTCAAACTACCATCCCCTCAGGTCAAGACAAGAACATGTCACTAAAGTTAGTGTCTGTGCTATACAGCCAGATAAGCAAGGGAAGGGTAATGAGCACAAATGGCCAGGAAATCCCTTCGGTGCATGCGGACAAGGAACGTGGTTTGGTGGGAGGTGGCACACTGTCTTTACCAGGCTCTAGGTAGTTACGGGCCACAAATTTAAGCGTCTCGTCCAGCAGGATGACGGGCAGCGAGATTTTCAATACCATCAGCCACTGAGTCAGGTTCAGAGGTGTAATTTGGAAGATCAGCTAGGAAAAAAGGGAAGACAACACCCTTAAAATCATTCAAAGGGGGCAAGAGATCATGGCAGAGCCAGGGTTGGGGGAAGAAGAGCATATCCTCTTTCGCTTTTGGAGGTTAAGCAAACAAATAAAACAATTGAAACCTGCTCTCGACATGAGTTACATGAACTTACTGGAAGTGGCTCCACATAAAGGATGAGAAAGTGAAGAGACATGGACAAGCAGATGGAACCCAGCAGCCAAACGTTCTCCCAGGGAGGCATCCTTAACAAAGACTGGTTTTCTGACAGGCTGAAAAGGAAAGGAAGTCCAGATGTGTAAGAACACCAGTGTACGTATGCACACGCACACACACACACATGCCTTCAGGGTTCACTATTGTATCTTAATAGGTAGCTGATACGAGGTATAAAGTCTATTTCACATGCTCTTTGAAACATTTGGCATGGCCTTAATATATCACCATTTGTAACCCTCAAAACATAAATCTATTTTGAATGTTCTGAATTAATGTGTTTTTTCAACTGTCTTAATCGGTTGAAGATAATAATGTGCTATACTGTATTTATGTTTTAAGCCACAATGGGTTCCGATTCTGGGAGGAATGGAGAATGTGATTCAAATAACAAAATGAGATTGTAAAACAAATCCTGGTCTGGGCTGATGAATGGCAGCTCTCTTGAGGCCATCTACATCTCACTTGACTCCCACTCAAAGAGTAGGGCCTTCAGCTTTTTATTTCAAGCATACGAACCTGTTGAGGGCATTACACATTTCGATTGTGACCAAGACAGAAAGGGCCATCGTCATTGGATATGGAGATTCAAAGACCACACAGTCAACACCTTCAAACTCTGGATTGTCATCTTTGCACTGCAAGAAATGGCTCTGGAATAACATAACACACACGCAGGTCAGTCTAACTCTCTACATCACCATACCTTTCCCTCTGCCAAAAACCTCATCAGAACTTCCTTGTTTTATAAAAAAGACAGCTATAAAGTTGAAAGGAACGAGTCCTTTTTTATCAGCCCTTTAATCATAGTTTTTATTGTTACGCAGGGATTAGTTTGAGATGTAGGTCCTGCCACAGATAAATACTGGCGGCCTTTTAATAAGATATCTGAGACTTCTGTATTCTATTAAATCAATACGGCTAAGCAGCTGCACTCTGAAAAATGTAAGCTGGGTTCCAAAATGTTAACAATGTTTCTAATTTTGAAGTATTAATAAGAAAATAATACCAGCTGGTAGTAGGTAATTCTTGGGCCACCATCAGCAGCAATAAACCACCAAGCAGCAGCTCCCACTGTAGCAGCTCCAACGTAACCTTAAAGGGAGGGAAAAACATTTCAGTTCTCGCCAGGCTGAATAATGGGGCATCTGTATTGGGCGCTCACCTCACCTGAACTTCCTCTCCTCTATACAATAGGTTACTTTGTAACCTTGGCCATTTCCTGCAATTACTATCCATGTTTAGATCCTGATAGCCAGGTCAGCACCACTGGATTCTTTCCAAGATTGCATATCTTATTTAAAACAGATACAGCGGCAAAACACAGTTCTGTGCAGAAACCTACACTGCATCTACCTAAAAGTACACCTTAGTAGAAAAATCTCCTTTACAAATACAAACTGATGCTTTTTAACCCTTTCCATGCAGCATACAATCCAACAGGAAGGCACTACTGGTTGGGGGAAAAGGTTTAAGGGATTCAGCTTAAAAGGAAGCAAAGAAGTGAGAAGGAAACAATGTAAAGGAGAGAAGAAATTTTTTCTAATTGTCTTAAGCTAACTTTTGCCACTTTCTCCACAAAGAGGGAGGAATTGGCTGAAGTCATACAGCTGTTTGAGATGGGATTTCTTTTTTGTAAGAGCCGGGAAGAGAAAGGGGCACTGAGAACGAGAACGAGCAGAGGAAGCATTTTCAGGACTCCAACAGAGCTCAAAGGAACACTCACATCCAATGGCCAAGTAACGGAAGAAGAGCCATCCTGAAATCAGGGGCTCTTTGGGATTGCGAGGTGGTTTGTTCATGATGTCCAGATCTGGAGGGTTGAAGCCCAGAGCAGTGGCAGGGAGCCCATCTGTCACAAGATTTACCCACAAGAGCTGGACAGGGATTAATGCTTCAGGGAAACCCAAAGCAGCAGTCAGGAAAATACTATCAAAGAAAGGAAGAAAACACACAAGTGAGGTTAAGTCATTACTGAGATTTTAATAAGAGCTTTGAAAGATGGCTATCGGGGACCCTTAATTACTACCTTGCTTGTTTTGTCTCAACAACCAGAGCTGATATGTCACCGAGCATTTGCTCAATGGTCCATTTTTTCTCAACCGCCCTGCCAGGGCATGAAAGCTTTCTTAACTGACCTGACAGCCACCTATGGACTGCACTGGGGCCAGCAGCCATCAGTACTCAATTTAGGAAAGCAAGCTCACTTTGCAAAAGTTCAGTGCACTTACCAAACAACCTCTCCGACATTTGAGGAAATGAGGTAGCGAATGAATTGTTTCATGTTATTGTAGATTGCACGGCCCTCTTCCACAGCAGCCACAATGGTTGAGAAGTTGTCATCGGCCAGCACCATTTCTGAAGCTGTCTTTGCCACTGCGGTGCCTGATCCCATAGCAATTCCAATCTCGGCTTTCTTCAGGGCTGGAGCATCGTTGACACCATCCCCCGTCTGAAAGGAATTTGAAAAATGGACAGTAGGAATAAAAAAAGAGAGTATCCCAAATTACATCAAGGGTTAAATTGAGAATGGGTGAATAAGCTCTTGTTGTTTTCGTTCAGTCGCTTCCAACTCTTCGTGACCGCATGGCCCAGCCCACGCCAGAGCTCCCTGTCGCCCGTGGCTACCCCCAGCTCCTTCAAGGTCAAGCCAGTCCCTTCAAGGATACCATCCAACTATCTTGCCCTTGGTCAGCCCCTTTTCCTTTTCCCTTCCATTTTCCCCAGCATCATTGTCTTCTCCAAGCTTTCCTGTCTTCTCTACATCATCTTTGCCACTAATATCCTTCCCTCCAGTGAGCAGTTGGGCTTTATTTCCTGGAGTATGGACTGGTTAGATCTTGAATTAGCTCTACATTCAATAAGTTCTACATTTGAATAAGGTACACATTCTCAAAGAACTTACAGGAAGGGACAGTGGAAAGACTTGGCATACATTCTAGCCTATTCTGTATCTTCTTACTGAGACAGAACAGTTGTCAGGATTTAGAGGTGTTTATGTCATGCCTTTTTCTATGAAGACCTCTTTCCAAATACACATAATTCATCCTTACATGAGAAGTTGTTGCGTACCTATTAACCAGATAACACTCACCATTGCTGTGATCTCATCAAAAGAC